CAAGGTGTTGCCAAGGCTGGTTGCTCTGTCAGTTACGGCTGTCGACCTGTGTTTCCAGCTTCAGCACAGAAGCTGGAACTCAACACACTCCTTCCCAGAACTAGCTAACTGCTGTCCTGTAGATAGCATTGAGTCAGTATTAGGCTAAGGATGATAAATGTATGTATCTTCTGTTTTGAAAAGAGACATATAAGAATGTAATGTGTTTGTGTACTCCACATGACAAGGAACAATTGTCAGTGTCCTGGGTTCAGCAGTAGCAGTCATGTTTCTCCTTCGTGGTAGCTGGTGCAGTGCTACTGCAACTGCTGAACCCAGGACAGTCAGGTATTTGCTTTACTGGACCCATTTCTGACTTGATTTGCACTTTTTTGTCCTAGGTTCTTTTAGTTCATTTTTACTTCCAACTTTGTTTATTCTCACAATCTGGCCCAGAATGCAAACTCAAAACAGATTTTGACACTGCTGCATCTTCTAGGGAGTCAATAACTATTATTCATAAGTACTGATTCATTGTAATCAGTAGTTTAAAGAATCTGAAATGTTTTATCTGTAGTGGACTTTAAACAATCAACAGAATTATTGTTAACCTTACATATGCATACAAGCATGGACATGCTAGCACAAGCACACAGACTTTTCCCCTTCCCATAGGCAAGTCCATTGCTACCCAAATTTGAAGCAAGATGGTGGTGTAAATAGATGATAGGTGAAGTTTCATGAAATGGTTGAACCAAGGTAGTGGCTTTCTGGTATGAGAGAGGTTGGTTTTAATCCTTCCTTTCTGTCACAAGCCTCATGCATACTCCTTACCGGGGGCCACTTACTTGCCTTACCCTTCACCACTCTGAATTAGCAGAAAAATAACCCAGAAGAGAAAGAAGTGAATTGTCTTCTGTCAGTTCATCAAGATGGAAGGGCTCACCCATGCTTGACTGAGGTGGACACCCATGCTTGACCAAGGGAGTAGATGGAACTATGAGGCAGGAAATCAGAGGGGTAGTTGAATCCTGTCTCTCATCAGAAGCTTCTACATGTGCTTCATTTTCTCACAATGTTCAAGTTCTTACAAATCTCACTAAGAAGACAAGAAACCTGGTAAGGAGAGAGATATTACTGGGACTCCCAAAAAGGAAAAGGTTGGACCTCATGCTTTGTTTGGCATTAAAGAGTTCAAAAATTGTCTCTAAACTGGAGAGACGTGGATTTGATGGATGGACCAGTCGGTGAATAAGGATAAGGATAAGGATGGTCACACTCAAAGAGTTGCAGTCAATGGCTTGATGTCCAGGTGGAGACCAGTGACAAATGGTGTTCCTCAGGGGTTGGTACTGGGACTGGTGCTGTTTAACATCTTAGTCAGTGACATGGACAGTGGGATTGAGTGTGCCCTCAGCAAATTTGCCGATGACACCAAGCTGTGTGGTTCGGTTGATACGCTGGAGGGAAGGAATGCCATCCAGAGGGACCTTGACACACTTGTGAGGTGGGCCAGTGTGAACTTCAGGAAGTTCAACAAGGCCAAGTGCAGGGTCCTGCAGCTGGGCCAGGGCAATCCCAGGCACTAATACACATTGGGCAGAGAATGGATTGAGAGCAGCCCTGAGGAGAAGGATTTGGGGGTGTTGATTGACAAGAAACTGAATATGATCCAGCAATGTGAGCCTGCAGCCCAGAAAGCCAACCGTGTCCTGAGCTGCATCAGAGGAAGTGTTGCCAGCAGGTCAAGGGAGTTGATTCTCTCCCTCCGCTCTTGTGAAACCCCACCTGGAGCACTGCATCCACATCTGGGGCTCCTAGCATTAAGAGGGACATGGACCTGATGGAGCAAGTCCAGAGGAAGCCACAAAGATGACCAAAGGGCTGGAGCACCTTCTCCTACGAAGACAGGCAGATTCTATGGAATACAAAGCCCATTCTTTCTAGGTTTCATTGATTCTGATGCTGGGTTTGACTATTCTCTTCTAATTGTATTCTGGCAGTTGTTTTTTTTTTAAAAAAAAGAAGACATCAACCAAAGTAGTACCACTGTTTTAAATATGTGAAACAATTGACTTAATGTTACTTGACCTGAGTTTGGGATAGCTTTGGTCTTCTGGTGTTGCCTCTTTTAGGAAGCTAACTCTTAACCAGGGTATGTGCTTTGCTTTAGTTTCACTTTTTTCCAGTTTTAAAGAGTGGTTATGCAGCTCCTCATTTATCTTCTCCTTCCAGTTTGTTTGTATTCTCCCAGAGGAATTCTCCTGCACCATTTTTCCTATTTGAGTAGCAGTAATAGCCAGAGTTAGAAAGAAAATACAATTCCCTATAGCCTCTCCTAAATATTTCGTGTTGTTCTATCTGGTGCTACCTTTATAGTAGTATTCTGGCTCTGTGTTTATCATCTTGTCATGTTTTGCTGTGATAGAGCAATCTAGGATTATCTGGAAAACCATTTTGATTTCCATTACAGAATGTTCTGTAGTGGTACCAGCTGATTCGTTTACTGTCACCTCTGGCCCTCACAAAATGACTCTTGTCATGCTTCTTGAGCACTGGCACATGCTGGTCTTGTACCACATCGTTCAGAGCTAAGCCTGCTGCAGCCTGGAAAACTGTAAGATCTAGGCATTGAATATCAATTTATGACCATATGAACAATTACGACTATGTGCTTTTCTTAAGGTCCAGTGTAGCTTTTTGATGGTGCTGTATGAAGTACACTGTTTTAGGGTTTTCCATAAAGAGCTGTAGTGGCTGTGTCTACATTCCTAAGTCCTGTTGAGTTAGTAAGACTTGATATTAACCCTCACTGGTGTATATCAAGTGGTTTAAAAGTTGGTGTGGGCGACTTAGGTTCATATTATTATGTCTGTGCAGGAGTTTGCAGAACTTTAAGTGATGTGATTATAGTATTGTAAAGTTGGCATAATTTATATGAGGATCAGTTACTAAATGCAAGTCCTGAAAGAGGGAATTACGGTGGTTAAAAGGAGTAGCTATCTAAGGGGTTTGCAGTAGCTGTACATCCAACTGAGAGAGACTTCCTGATGACGTGATGATGAAGTCAAATCTCTTGTTATTCTCTTGAGGATGCCCTTTACAAGGCTGTATTTAGGGGCCATGTTGAAGACCAGGGCATCAAAGAGTATTTTGGCTTCTAGAGTGGCCCGATATGAGCTGGTATTACAACTGCATGCATCTTTTGTTTCGGTCTGTGTGCATTACACGTGCAGTTGTACAAAATCTTATCCAGAACGTGGCCTCATTACTTACTGTTAACAGCCATCAGTTCCTGAAGAAGAAAAATTTATAGCTGCACAGTATTAAAGTGTTTACAGAGTTTTTAATAGTCTGGGCTTTTGTTTTGAAAAAGTACTTCTGTTCAACACTGTTCAAAAGAAAGGTAGAGACTCTTACCAGAGCCTGTCTCTTTCTCTCCCCATCCCTTTTCTAAATTTCATTGTAATTCCCACCCCTGGGCTGTATGTATGCTTTTGATTGATTGGTTTTATTCACTTACTCCAGCCAGAGATAAGCCTGTTTTGATGTCAGACCTTGGCTAAAAGATAGGCAGGAAGAAGAAAGCAACTGTGAAAATGTAAAGCAATAATATTCTGGGGCCAAGTAAACCTAATGCTCTGTTTAGATGAACGAGCGGTGGGTGACAGTTTACAAGTCACCAGCTTGCCAACTGAGTGTCAGTTTGCATCTGTGTGCCCTATAACGGTCAGCGAGATCTGATTGAGTTGTTTGCTTTGTAGATCCCCAAAAGATTTGGAGTATCTTTTAGGAACATGTTCACAGATTGAGGTTTGCCCCCAAACTTGCAAAATTAGTTTTCCATGTAACAGAAGTACAGCTGAGTTCTTCATGTGAGAAGTAATGCTAAAATCATGCTAGAATAATACATATGTTTGGTTTTCCTTACAAAAAATATTCCTACATTATTTAGAGGCTAACAGAAAAAAAGGAGTTACTGTAGATCTGCAGAGGGCTCTGCTTGAACTGATGCAAACCATACCAAAAGATCAAAGATTTTTAAATGAAAACTTGACTGCAGCATGTGTATTATAGTTTATGATGAGTTTTCCTTCTCTGATGACTTTGGGTCACCCACAATGACAATACAAAAACATTTGACTGTAATAAGAAGTGGTGACTTGGTACAGGATGGAGAGTGTAATGCAGTTAACTTCCATTTATATACTGCCAAGATATTTTATAAAGAAGGTGGCTTTTATTTTTCTCCATAGCAGAAAAAGACTGTTTTAAATACTTTCCTAGCTGTCATATGTTGTCTGCAGTATGGTTTGCACGTAGGCAGTTCTATAGATGGCCGTGAAATTTACTGAAAATTATTACAAATGTGGAAATTATCTGTGGGCTGCTAATGCCTAATGGCTCTAGATTAAAAGTATATTATATATATTATTTTCTGATTATAAAAGCAGATGTAGATATTTCCTGATGCCAAAAGATGCTGATACTTATTTTTGTTTTGTTCTTTAGTGAGATAGAAGATGAATTCAGCTGAAATCACTGATGAAGATGAAGGTAAAATACTACATTTTATGTAACTTATGATCAGGCAAAAATACTTGTTGAATTAAAGCCTTTGTAACCTGCTAAAAAATGTGCTTGGATCAAGACAAATTACAATAAGGTTTTTAAAAAAACTATCTAAAATTCACCATTATCGTTATTACTCATTGTATTTTCTGCTCTGCGTCCTTCCCCCCTTCCAAATAAATCTTCCTACTGTAACTTTATTTGTTTATACTTTAGACTCTTTGGGGAAGAAACTGTGATTTACTGTATGACTGAATGGTTCCTAGCTTAATAAAAACTTGTCTTTTGGGTGGCCTCAGCATACGCTTATTGTACAAGTCATAAAAAATAATGATGATCTTCAAAAACACATTTTCATAAAAAGAAACAAAACCTGAAAGTTTGTATTATGGGTGTCATGGTTTTCTGGAGAGAGTGCTTTATCTTTCTAAACCTTCTTTTTTTTGCAGTAAAAATTCCTAAAAATAATGTTGTGAAAGTAGAAACAGAAAATGAAGATGAAGCTCTAGACTGCTCAGTATCATCCAGATCTGCCGAGAAGCACTCACTGGATGGCACAGGTACTTTCCTGCAGGATTCCAACAAACGGAAGCAGACCTCACTTGGTTGCGATGGAAGCCAGCAAGATGTCTTACCCAGCGTGAAGAAAAGACGCTTTACACAAGAGGTGACTTCTCTGTACACGATTCTGTGATTTTTCTGCTCATATTTTATAGGCTAAATTTGTTGCTGCTCCAAGCAAAATGCCAGTCATTTAATTAGACTTGCATTAGTAATGAGTTCAAGGCAAATGTGGTTAATCTTAACCAGGTTTGCACATATTACTTGTCTGGGTATTTCTTTAAATAATGTGGGAGCAATTATATATATGAAATACAGTTACAGGTTCATTCATTCATATGAAGTATACTTTTGTTGTTTGTCAGAGAATGTAGGAGCAGGTAGTGATTTGGATTAATTGACTGTGACTCTGATTATAGTCCCTCTCATGTCATACAGCCCTTCAGCTGGATCCTCAGTGATGGAATCAGGGCTTCCTTCTGTGACACAGATTTCAGTGTCAGTAAGACAAGTATAAATTTGTGCGTTATTTGAAAGATAAAAATGCAGGGATGCAGAAGACTTCAGCATATCAAGAACAGAATATATAACAACTTTGGGTGCAGCATCCAACTTATGACACTCCAGATGTTTGTCCAGGCAATGGAGGAGATGCTCAGTCTCTTCCATTATCCTGTTCTAGCGTTTCACCTCTCTAGCAATCAGAGATTTTCATTAATCTTTACTGAAACTGAGCAAGTTTCTTTTTGTCCCTGTTCTTTTCAGTAGGGAGAGCAGTGATCATCTGTTCCTAGAAAAGTCATCTGCACATGGGAAAATTTATGAGGTGTTGTCCACCCTCAGCCTTTCACTCCAAGACTAAAATTCTGGGGTTTCAGTTCTTCTTCAGAACTGACCTTACATTTTTGTTGTTCTTGTGAGACTCCTGAAAGGGTAATGTCCAGTGCTGGGTAGTCACATCTCTTCTAACACCCTCTAATGCAGTGTAATAACCTCCTGTTCCTCACACTCAGCACTTTATTAAAATAACCTAGATTCAAATTCATCCTCTTTTGAATAACTTCAGACAGGCCCTGGGTTATATTTAGTTTGTGACCTACTCTAATTCACGTACCCTTTCTGCTGTTCTGCTACCTAGGCAGTTATTGCGTGTTGTATTTGCGCATTTCATTTCTCCTTCCTAGCCATAGCTCTTCATATTTCCTTTTCTTAACTGTCGTCTCTCTGACTTCTTGGGGCTGCTTTTTTCCCTGAATGCCTGTGGTAGGTAGGTTTTAATCATATTACACTTTTTTTTTTTCATTTCTCTTTTTATAATGTTTTACACAGAATCATAGAATCATGGAATAGTTAGAGATGGAAAGGACCTTAAGACATGCATTCAGATTCTTAAGCTTCATAATGGTCTCTGAACTGTGCTTGGGTTGCATTTTACTGTTTGCCTTTAATAAATTTTTAAATTTAGTTTTAAATTCATTAGAACTTTGGACTTGAGAATATCAGAAAGTGACCCAATGACGAAAATTCATTCTTGAGTGACCCAGAGAATCAGCATGTTTAGTTAAATAACTGACCAGAAATAGTCCTCAATCCTGACTACGTTTTTTAAGTTACTTATCTAATACCAATATTTTTGTTTAGTTGATGACTTCTTTAACTATTTCTAATTAAATGGAGAACAAAATGTTAATTATTTTTGAGAATATTGTGCTTTGTAGTATATTTTTACTACAAGTCACATAGGCATCTGTGTATGGTATAAGCAGAGCTGTACTACTTATGTTATGTAACTGTGCTGTTGGGCTGGTGATTGTGTTACTAAATGACTTTCAGAAGACATTTCCCTTTTATTTGTTAATTCTGATTGTCATTTCATAACCAGAAATTCATTTTCTCTTTTTTTTTTTTTAAGTGTCAAAGATTTAAAGAAGTTACAAAAGTTTATTTATAGGGCATTTTTAAGTTCTTATGTGTTTGATAGAACCTCTTTAAGTGGTTCTTGCTCATGTGTTTATTATTCTTTACTCATATGCTAGAATATTATGCTCTGTATTCTTACAGATGTTTAGACTTTGTTTATTAAGCATAATAAACAAAGTGCTGGACTTTAGCACTGAACAGAGCAATAACTAAACAACTTTTAAAACTTGGCTTTAGGAGTCAGAGAGATAATGTGGGAGACTATTTCACAATTATTTAAATTGATTGATGTTTATCAAAATACTGCATTTTGCAAATTCTCAAAGAATGCATATAATATAAAAACTTGCTATGCAAATGTAGTATAAAAAGCAGCACTATTTTATGTAGTTTGAATCTCATAGGACATTATCTTGCTTATTTTTTTGATGGTACTTTAAAACTGATAATCTTAAATGGGTGTAGTATTATCTGAAATACACTGATGTTTAAAGATCAGTGTACACAAAATGGATTTTAAAGTATTACATACCAGTTTAATTGGAGAATTTATGAAAAGCCATGTATTTATGCTGTGAATAGTGCTGTTCCCAGATGGAAACTGTATAAAGACAAGATAATTGAAAGCAAAAGGAAATAAAACCAGAATATATCTGGAACAAAAAGTCTTTAAATGTAGGCCCAAATGTGTTGTCATCCATTAGTCAAACAGTGACTATGTGTTTCTGAAACGCAGATAACCAGATCTGTTCTGCAAGAAGATCCATACACTCTGAGCTGCATTAGTGAAAGCACAGAAGTTTTGCTGCCATCACAGCAGAGATCTGCTGTAGTTCTTAGCATGAACACTTCTCCTCCTCCAGAGCAGTGCATCCAAAACTGATAACGCAGACTTCCACAATATTCACTTCAAAGTGCAGTAAGATAAATGAAGACAATGAATTTGTACTGTTTAATACATTCTAGTGTTGCTGTTCCCTGGCTCTGTGTGAGGTATGCATTAATAGATGTTACTCCCACATTGCCAAGTTTTATTACATAAATAATTGGGGAAAAGGTACAGCAGGAGTTCTGATCAAAACTGACAGCCCCCTGGCAAGCTATTTAGTAGAGAAGGAATTGAATGAATCGGACTCTATACGTGAAGGAATATTTGTAGTATTCCCTGTAAACAGGAATGTTAATGGAAGAACTAGCTATTTAGGTAGCAGATCACACTGTATGCATAAGAAATGTATTCTCCAGAATTGCAGTTTTGTTTTGTTCTTTAAAATGGTAAAAGAAGTTTGTAATTTGGTCTGGATGTGTGACTGGGGAGCAGAAGTATGTTTATTGTCAGTGCAGATTTTAATGACTTGCTTTCAGGTGATGTCTATTTGGGAGAGTTCTGTTGCCATCTGGAAATACTTCTGTTTCTCCACTGACAAGTATAGGTAGTGTATGACTTCAGACCCAACATAGGACCCTATAGTTAGGTGGGAGCAGTGTGGATCTCAGTTTGCTCACAATTCTTTTGTGTTCTGGTATTTTACAAGTCACAAAGAGCTGATTTAGTTAGGGCATATCATACCACTTGCTGGGGTAAAAGTCACCCTTTAATAGCTGATGGTGTTACAGGACTCTAGTTCCTTGCTGTCCTCCTAGCAAATGTGCTGTATGAGTGGGACTGGAAGAACAGTCTTCTAAATGGGATCTGGACATCAGGTGTAAGCCCACCATGGCTAGGAATTCTGCAGATATCTGTGAAATACATTGCCCTCGCATTTATGTTTTCATTTTATCATCTGTCTGTCCATACAACTTTGGATGTGAAAAGCATGAGGTTTCATATATAGGGTTGTATGATGTGAATGATACTTCACATCTTCAACTTCATTGAATATGCTTGTTTCTAAACTTGGAGTGGAAACCAGCTTGTTTTTTTCTGAGCCTTTTTTGAGTATACATTGCATTAGAAATTAAAAAGTAATTAGATGCAGTTTGTCACTGCAGTAAGCAGATGCCAAGTGTGAGTGCACATAGGGTCCCCATCAATTTCATGAATGTTACAGTTCTGTTTTTTTCAGAGGAACTTTTAATTCAAGTTCCCCACTGTAGGATGTAGCAGGGTCTTCACTAGGATTTCAAATTGCTTGTGGCTCTCAGACCTCAAGTCTGTGTTTCATTTGTTTCAATACTTAAATTCAGATTCTGTGGGTTTTTATCTAATTAATGTTCTGTGGAACAAGCCAAGCAAAATATTTTGGTACAGTCTTCTCTAAAATCTGTGAGTGTTTTCTCATGTTTGAATTCTGTATGTTGGATTTTGATTCTGTTGTATCTATTTAGCTTCCTAAATATTCTATGTGCAATATCCATGTGTTCACAAAAAAAAAACCAACCCACCCAAGCCCTGCATATTTGCAGTGGGTTGGTGAAAATTCTTGCTTTCCATTTCAAGCAGAAGAGTTAGAAATTATTGAAAACAGTAATTCCTTAAGAGATCATTACTGGTTCTTATATAAATAATTTAGAAAATTAGATACACATGAGTCCAAACTTCCTGCCTTTCAGAAATAAATAAATCTTGGGCTTCCCTTTTTAGAAAGGCAATACCAAGGTGCTTTTCACTTTGTTCTTAATTTTGTATTATTTAAATTGACTTTTTTCTTTTTTTAATTACAGTTCACTTGAGTAAGAAAAGAAGCATAATTTGGGTATCTTATAGCCTTTGAGGTATTTTCAAAAGCTAAACTGAAAGAGAGTGCTGGAACGTTAAATGCAGTTGTTGGAGGCAGTGGCAAGGTCACAAGACCAGGAGTCAGAAAACCTAGATTCTATTCTTGGCTCTGCTGCTGACTTGTTGCCACCTAAATTCTTTACAGCCCAAGATCCTCGTATGCGAGGTGAAGCATAATGATACTTGATTTGTGAGAGCATTTAGAGCTCTGTGATTTAAGAGTACTAAGGGTTATTACTGCGTTTCTATTCCATGGAGAAAAACATGACCAAAACAAACAAACAAACAAAACCACCTTCACTAATACTTTACTGTCTTTTTATTTTTTTATATAATGAATTTATTGATTCTGATGTATTTAACACAGCTAAGTCCTCTGGAGAAAATTTGACTTTGCATATGTATGCTACATATTTATAGCTAATATTTTGAAGGCAGTCTTACTAATAGAATATTTATTCATTTAAAGGGTCCCCTTTCAAACTTGAAAACCAGAGATACTGGCTCACCCACTCAGGTAAATACAGAGCAGGCAAACAAGAACAAGAATTCTAACGTAACGTGGCTCTGTGAAGAAGAATCTTTCAGTGACATAACCACTCCATCTTACAAAAAACCTCTCTATGGCATCTCACACAAAATCACAGAGAAGAAGAACCCACCAGGAGCAGAGCAGTTTGCTTCCTATGAGTTGTTTGAAAAAATCAACCCCAGCAGTCCCTTGCCTCTTCGGACTTTGAATGACCAACGCAAAAGGGACTCGGCTGCAGCCATTGCTGTAACAGCAGCCACCACAGATTCTGACCCAAATATATATTCTTTGATACAGAAAATGTTCTACACACTTAACACCCTCAATACCAATATGACTCAGCTTCACAGTAAAGTTGACCTGTTGTCTCTGGAGGTTAGCAGAATTAAAAAACAAGTCAGTCCAGCAGAGTCTGTTGCAGACTTCAAGCCTCCCCCGGAGTACCAGCTGACTTCTGCGGAGCTCAAACAAATCATGGATCAGAGCACATCAGGTGGAGACCTTGCTTGCCGGCTGTTGGTGCAGCTCTTCCCAGAGCTTTTCAGCGATGATGAGTTCAGCAGAAGCTGCAGCGCATGCGGCTTTCTCAACAAGAGGAAACTTGAATCTCTTCATCTGCAGCTGATCCGTAACTATGTGGAAGTTTGTTATCCTTCTGTGAAGAATACAGCTGTGTGGCAGGTGGAATGTTTGCCTCAAGTCAATGATTTTTTCAATAGATTTTGGGCTCAAAGGGAAATGGAAAACAGTCAGCAGAACGTGCAGTCGTCCAGTTTTTATGAGACTGAGCAAGTCGAATCCTCTCATTTTATTGATGATAAAGAGCAGGATGAAGCTTTGTCCTTAGACAGGAGTAGTGCCATTGCCTCAGATTACATGCTGGATGCTCAGGATCTCAATGAATTTTTAGATGAAGCTTCTTCTCCAGGGGAGTTTTCTGTTTTCTTGTTGCACCGATTGTTTCCAGAACTCTTTGACCACAGAAAATTAGCTGAAAGGTACAGCTGCTTTGGAGACTCCGGAAGACAGCTGCTGGATCCTCATCGGCTTCAAATAATCCGTAGGTACACTGAAATTTACTTTCCAGATGTACAAGAAGAAGAAGCCTGGTTGCAGCAATGTGTGCAGCGAATAAACGATGAGCTAGAAAACACATATATGGATGGAAGTGAATGTGATCAGATGAGAGATGACTATTATGATTCTTCTAGTTTACCAGATGATGTGTCAATCATAAAAGTGGAAGACAGTTTTGAATATGAAAAACCAGGTAGACGCTCAAAAAAAATTTGGCTTGTACCCATAGACTTCGACAAACTTGACTTTCCCCCTCCCGATTTTGATGTCCCTGTCCCGGATTACCTGTTGAACAAAGAACAGATTAAAAGCATATATGAAAGCAGCCTTTCCATAGGCAACTTTGCCTCTCGATTGCTTGTTCTCTTATTTCCTGAACTGTTTACTCATGAAAACTTACGGAAGCAATACAACTGTAGTGGATCTTTAGGCAAGAAACAGCTTGACCCCACTAGAATTAAATTAATTCGACATTATGTGCAGATACTGTATCCCAGAGCAAAGAATGACAGAGTGTGGACACTGGAGTTTGTTGGGAAGCTTGATGAGCGGTGTCGACGTAGAGACACGGAGCAAAGGCGCTCGTACCAACAGCAACGGAGAATCCATGTGCCAGGGCCCGACAGGAGGGAATTTCTCAGCTATGTAATAAACCCTGAGAGGTTTCGAGAGGAATTTGAAGGGCCACCACTGCCGCCAGAAAGAAGCAGCAAGGATTTTTGCAAGATACCGCTTGATGAGCTCGTTGTTCCAAATCCAGACTTCCCTGTGCCTTCTCTGTATTTGCTGTCTGATAAGGAGGTAAGAGAGATAGTGCAGCAGAGCCTGTCAGTCGGCAACTTTGCTGCCAGGCTTCTTGTAAGACTCTTTCCTGAACTCTTTACTCCAGAGAATCTCAGGCTGCAATACAACCATTCAGGTGCTTGTAACAAAAAACAGCTCGATCCTATCAGACTGAGACTGATACGTCATTACGTGGAGGCAGTTTACCCTGTGGAGAAAATGGAAGAAGTATGGCATTATGAATGTATACCGAGCATTGATGAAAGATGCCGGCGTCCTAACAGAAAAAAGTGTGATATACTGAAAAAAGCAAAGAAAACAAAAAAAGTGACAGATTCTTTAAATTCCTAAGACTTTGACCACTAAATTATTGTCAGGATTATGCTTTGGTTTAGACTGAGGGGCCTGTCAAGAGCTGAGGGTGATCAGCGTCTAGGACAGTCAGGCGCTGAGTTTGTTGCTTTTTAATGTGTGTGTTGCGATTATGTGGGCACCACAGCAGTGGGAAGTGGCTTACTACATTTGTACATGGGTAAAGACCGTAAATCATCAATGATAGCACTATCAGTGACTCGCTAAGAGCATGATTTACACTGGTGCATGTATTGAAACTGTATTACTCCACTCCCCATTTCTGCATCTTCTGGGTTTTGTCACTTTCTAATAATAAACAATTTTTTTTTAAATCACTGTGCTCTTCAGGGGCAGTTCTTCATTGTACCCTTCTAAACAAGTCTTGTGACTTCATTCAGAGTTTGAAATTTAACCTTAATTTCAATTTGAAAGTGCCATGTTCACTGGAAATCATTGGAATATTGGACTTTGTTTCTACAGTAATTGCAGTTTCATATTTGTTCTGTTCTTGATGATACCGAGATATTGAAAACAATAAAACCATGTCAAAGAATGGGTCAGAATGGTGTCATTTGCATTTTTGGCCATCACCCAGGTTTTATTTCTAAACCCAAGAATGAGCTGTTGAGAAACTGAGATGTGAGCACAGACACAATGTGAATTTTTGGTTGATGTTTTTTTTAATCTTGACAGGACAAGCTTGATCCTGCCCCTGTGAGTTCTTTTCTTTTGTCCAGTGTCACTGCTGGTGTGACAGAGGATGTTTGAATAAAGCGTGTCAGAACAGACCCAGGCGGGTACCCATGGAATGTCTTGCCATCGCCTGCTTGCTGCTGTGTTCTTAAAATAGCAAAGATATTTGCTAACAGCAAAAAGACCTGAAACAAAAACTTGGAAAAATTTTAGACCTTACTATCAAAATCATGATTCCAAAGGTTTCCAGTGTTCATACTGAATTGCAGATATAAAAAGTATGTGCAAAGATGGGTTTTGTGATAAAATTCAGTGTTTCAGGATCCCCTATTGCGAGCTGTGGTAATGTAACTCATTCTTTGCTTAAATGCAGCAGCACCTGGATATTTTGGGTGTAGGAATATTGAATTCCCTCACTTTGCCAAATTGATTTAGTGTAATTGTAATTAGTAGCTATTTGGAGGCATAACTGTGTATGTATAACTTAGGTTCATACAGTCAGGTTTGCATCATTAATATATTAAAGTGTAACAAAGATCACCCTGTACCCAATGTGAATTTGCTGTATGACTTGTCACTGGAGAGTGCTGCTTTAAAACTATTTTTCTCTTCTCTTTTTTCCTCACCTTTTTTTCCTTCTTTTAATACTGATAGAAATGGTGAGAGAGAGTCAAACGTGAATTTTTAAGACAGTAAAGACAGTGATTGCTTACTGACCATCGCTCGAACACCTTAGAGCAATTGTTGATGTTGTCTGTGGTCCTTTTTTGTTGTTTACTTAGATGGGTCATAGTGTCAAATTTTAAGCCAGTTCCAGGGTAATTTTCTATTTTAGCATTTGTAAGAAAGTACAAAATATTTGATATTTTTACTTTCAGATTTTTAGAATTTACTGCTCTTAGAGTCATACGGATCCCTTTCTTTTAAAAGCAAAACAGAACGTTTTTTTCCTGATGGCAAGAACTAGTAAAAGTATTATGTTAAACTGGGAGTAAATCATAATAGTTAGTAGCATTTGCTCATTTTCCCCATATGCTAGCGACATTCTCAAAGAATGTATGAAGAAAATCATGAATGTACTAAATAATACACTGATACTGTTTATATCCATACAAATGTTTCCTGTTGGTTTAAATAATAGCAGACCATGCACAAGATGGATATCAAAGCAAATATGGCTATAATAAAAAATGAAAAAATTTTACCAAAGATAAAGAACTGATACCACAATATCTGCATCTTTCATTTTAGCATAAATTTAGCAAACTGAATGTATCAGAAACCAAGACTTTCACTTGTAATTGTATGCTACCTAGCACCTCTGTGAATTTTTTTACATGCACTTTTATGGGAGATAAAATAATTACAGAAAATATTAACAACTGTTTAATCTGTTGTTGTGAATAGCTGGCCAGAAGGTAAGAAATGCATTTTCTTATATTAATGTCCTACATGTTTTGCCACTTAGTGATGTTGAAGCTCCCAGAAGAATTTGATCTGCATTAAGCTTTTCTACAATTGACAGATGTTCCTAGCTAGCATGCAAATTTGAGATGTACTGGCTTTTACTGTAGATGTTGACATTAAGTAACAAATTCAGTCAATTCATATTATCTGAGTAGTGAAAAAACAATTTTCACCTTTTAAAATTATATTTTTGAAAGTGGGTATAGAAAAATTTTAATTGTTTTTTTCCTCTTAACTTCTGATTGTTGTATACATTCCTTTTATCTCACTCTTCACAGCCCTTTCATGATTTGTTTGATTGTATGTTTTATAACTGATATCAAGAAAATACAGACATATGAGTAGTGACATAGTTCACTAATGAAAGCTATTTCGGTGCATCTGAAGTACAGCCACTTCATCCAGTTGGTCAGTCTTGTAAATAAATTAAAGGTATATTATTTTCATACAAGCGGAATGCTGTCTGGTGATTGCTTGAGTACAAGCGGGAAGTTTTTCTTACAAAGTCTGTTACTAAGGTCTGAGATAACCTCAGCTGTTCGGGCAAAGCATAAATGAAAATACCCTGGTTTGCTGCAGCCATTTAAAAATATTTTTCTGTTTTTCAGACTTTTTTTGTTTAAAAGAATAAAGTTGTCATTTTGGAAGTGAGGCTATCATAGGAAGATTGCTAGATATTGAAGTGTTCGGAAAGTGTGTAGCCGTGGACACACTGACTTGCTATGGATGACTATTACTTTCTACCTACCAGGTCAGTAAACCCTGTTACGGTGAATATCAAGTGTCGCTGTCAGCTTTAGGTAAGCATCGAATAGCTGACTTCTAACAGCTGTCTGAAAGAAACAGTGTAATATAACTATGTATTTTTGTGTCTTGCACATTTCCCACAAATTAAAAACTTACTTAGAAGCTTTGTAAAAGATGCAAAACAGCATATCAAAAGGGAGATCAAGTATGCATCACTTTATTGCCTGTTAACTGCATTCAGCTGTCAGAATCAAGGAGTCTGCAAATGAGAAAAATCTTTACGTGAAGTCAACCACTTTGTTACACTGATGTATTACAGCCACCAAAGTGTTTCATGTTCTATGAAATGTTTGTGACTGGCTTTTTTTCTTATCTTCAAGATGCATATAATATATTTGTAGGTACAGTTTTTCAAAATCTGTCATTTACTTCAACTATTGTTTGATATTTGTATTGTGTTATAGCAGTGAGAAACAGAGGATCTTGCGCTTGACACTCTGCAAAGGCACACCAGGTCTGATTTCATGCTGGAAGGGGATAATATGAATTCTACAGCCCCAAAAGCACAGAAAATAATATGCAGGTTTTAGTCATAATTTATTTTTATTCAGATTTCGGTTTTGCTGATTAAAGGGATGTGAAATAGCTGGAAAAATCAAGGTCTTAAGCTTGCTTGTACTGAGGGTGGGGTATAAATTGACAGGTGTTCTTACTTAACTATGCACATTTTGGTTGATTGCACTTAAAATCTGTGGGAGAACAAGTGTGGCAGGTTCAAGCCTATGGTTTTCCTAAGTAAATGAAACAAACTCCATCACTGTCATTGCCAAAACTACTTCAGTTCCTTGGTTTGACTCTGATTTTTTCCTTTATTAGTGCAATGCAGTTAGCACCAACAGTTCTGGGGTTTTCTTCAGGAACATTCTGAAAACATTGCTTTCAAATGTGCTTGAAGTTGTTTAAATTGAATAGATGAAATGATGGTTTAGTTCCCTCTCCTAATTCTTCCTTCTGACTGTCTTTGCTAAAAAAGACAGAAAAAGAAATAAATCCACGTTTGTTTGTCTTCGTTCTTTCCTACATACTTTTTTGTCCTAATAGTAAGATACATTCCTAGTAGTAACAGTGCTTTTGAAATCCTCATTTTACCCCCTCCATTATAGAAGTCATTCATCTAAACTTCTCATGGGTAGTGATAGTTTAATTTCTTACGGAAGTTTCTCACAGAATACTCATCACTGTCTTCATCACAGCTCAGAAACGCTGTTCTGAGAGGTCGTCCCTCCCACAGCAGAGCACTGGCTGAAGGAGCTGCTCTGGGCTGGCCAGTCCCAGTGCTTGGAGGCAGATGACTCCTGACAAAATCAAAACTCCATCATACTCACATTTTCCTTCTACCTCATCTGACTGTCAGGAGATTCGCCCGTATGCTGTTGTTTTCATCCAGCATCTGCCTTTCCATTTTTATTATTTTCTAATTAGTAGCTGTAAAAGAGTGGGCCTGTGACATGGGCAGACCACCTGCTTACTCCATCTCATCTGTCCGTGATGGGGCTGCGGTCCCCACTGAGCATTTTTCTTTCAGTAACAACTCAGAAAGAATTTTATTCTCACAAGAGCTGTAATAGAAAGGAATGCTGTCCTGGAGAATACAACATGTTCTTTTCCCACTTCTCCCTCCCTCCTTCCCCCCAAGACAAACATGAGTAGAACAAACCTGGTTTGTTGGTTTTTTTTTATTAGGTTTTCCTTATTTTCTGTCTAAAAATTTGGCATGACTTCCCAGTCAAAGAAATGGGCAAAATCACCATGTGTACCATCATGCTAAAATTTGTGGTAATGGATGGAAACAAAAGGTAATTACTGAAGACTGGAGGAAGATCAGCTAATAAATATTTATCTACACACACACAAACCTCAGGTCATCATTCCCAGTTTCCTTCTCAGATTTCATTATGGCAGAACCACTGCTTGTCATTGTTTCTAGAGGTGTTTTGTAGTCTTGTGTGTTAGTGCTCATTTCTCTGAGAGGCAGAATATTCCTTTAATCAATAGACTTTCAGGAATGTACCACTTTGATTTAGCTCATAAAGGCAGTGTGTGTTTCCTGTGGAATGAAAATCCAGAGGTACTTGTCAGCAGTAAGAATGAGTCAGTAACATCAGACCCCACATTTGAGATCTGGTTCCTTGTATAAAACCTAGAGTTTGGGTTTATGTCATGTAATGTCCCTTGTCTCTTGCTCCCTATCCCTCCTTGTTCCAGTAATTTAGAAAAGCCAGGGTCCCCCTGAAGTGCTTGTCTGTATGTGCATTGAATGCTGAAGCACTGGAAACTGAAGAATTTTAGCTTCAGCAGTTCTCAGGTTTTCATGGCTCCCCCACATCCCCCTTTTGCATTCCTTTCCCAATGCATGCTGTTGTAGAATGACCACAGCAATTGACCTGCACAGGCTGTTGAGCTGTAACTTGGTAGGTGCTGAAGGCAGACTGTCCTGTTCTGACATGCCATTGCAGAAAGAAAAAAGGAAACAACCCCAAGAAAGAAACAAACACAAACCCACAACCAAACAAACCCTCCAGTCAACCAGCCATAAACCCCAGGAACACTTTGCTTTCTGTTCTCTGGAAAATAGAATTGCCTGTTATTTGGTGGGGGGACAAAAGAGGGGTGAGAGTATAACCCCCCCTCTCTGTGGTAGGCAGCAGAACTCTGAACCTAGTCAGAGCATCAACATGTGCCTGCTTTAGTTGACCAGGCTGACTCCTGCCAGACCCAACAACTCCTGTGTGAGCCATTTCCATTACAGGATCCTCCCGCACCCTGTTCCATGATGAACGCTCGCCCACGGGCAGCAGATGCTGCAGTGTGTAACATTGCTTCTGTAGCAGGCAAAACATGCAAAGCTGTTGGATGATGCTGTGTGCTGCCCCAGTGACACTGGGTCCTGAACCCACAGCCTGGTGGTGCCTGCCTCTTATAGGACCAGGCGAAGTCTTCTGGATCAGGTCATCCCTCTGTGCAAGGGCAGGTATGCTGGCTGTTCCAGACTCCATCCAAACAGCCTAAGGCTGGACTCATCTGTGTTTAATGCAGAGGTAGTTTGGACAGCATAGTCATCTTAGCAGCCCCCAGTGAACTTGTCAGATGTCAAGCCATCCAAACCTCCCTTTATCACCTCTCAGCAGTATCTCCACAAGGAAGCCCTTACGCAGAGTTCTTCCACTATGCAAAGAAACAGCAGATGCTTTGCCAGATCATCTGATCAGACACTTGACCATGTTATCAGATAAGACTCCATCCTTAAATTCATGGCTGATGATGGGAAGATGCACAGCTGATTCCCAAGCAAGTTTTATGCTTTACGCACAGTCTATGTGAGCCAACCTTGTCTGAAAGTGCCCTTGAATGGCTGGCAAAAACTGGCTGTGATGTGCCTGTTTCTATACCTCCCAGAGCACGTTGGCTCTATTCGCCGGGCACTCAGCATCAGTCATTAACCAAGCTTTGTCTTTCTTTAGCTCACAGATCAAATGTTTGAAGGCTGCAGAAACAAGCACAACCTGCTCAGCAGTGTCTGGCCCCAATAAAAAGGTCTGATCAATAGAGAAGCTTATCCAGGACAGATCAATGCAGCCAAGCAGAACAGCTACTCACTTTCCTACTGTCATAGTTTTCCTCTGAGATCACCCTGACAGTGACTGAAGCTTTCTTTTCTGAAGCCAACAGGTACAGTTCTCTCACCAAACACTGAATCCACAGAGGCTGCTCTCACCACCATCACAAGACTATAGGAAGTCTGCCTTTCTTTTCCTTTATTTTGCTGATACCACTAGTGGATCAACACTTAAAACCTATGAAAGCCTGTTTCCACCTTCATCTGTCAGTGAAGACCTGGTTTTGGTAGCAGTTGTAGAGTAACAGAATGGTTTGAGTTGGAAAGACCATCTAGTGCAGCCCCCTGCCACCTGCAGGGAGACCTTCCACTAGACTTGCTCAAAGCCCCGTCCAGCCTGGCCTTGAACACTGCTATGGATGGGGCAGCCACAGCTTCTCTGGGCAACCTGTGCCAGTGCCTCATCACCACCATAAAAAATGTCTTCCATATATCCAATCTAAATCTGTACTCTTTCAGTTTAAACCAGTGTTCCTTATTCTCACTACAGACTCTGGTAAAATGTCTCTCTGTCATCATGAGGAAAGGGCTAGGTCTTGATTGCAAGCTCTTGTCTGCTTCCCAGTAGTCCAGTAACCTTTTCCAGAAGTTAAAATCTAAGGTTTGGCCTAATATTGTATTTATATTTTGTCTAACTCAAGAAATTACCCTGCCAGTGCTCTTTCTTAGTCTATGACTTTCAGGGTTGCAGCTTTCCTGCTCATTTTGGATGCCAGGCATGCGTGTGCATTTTGTTGCTGTTGTTACTGGTTTTATTCTACACAGAACAGACCCTTTCAGAAAGTTAATTTCTTCATGTCTTTACCTTAGCTATCCCCAAGCCCCAGAGCATCACTGTTGTTTACGAGTGGGGTCCTATTGTGGCCCTGTAATCTTTGGTGTGAAAGCTGCCACTGCTGGAGGTGACAGGCAGCATGACTGTATAAACTGACAAGCACTTGACAGGTAATGAATGATTACTGACCTGCAGCTGGAGCTCACTGATGTATTGCTTGTAACACATATTTCTACTTGCTTCTCTCAGCATCCCTGGAGATTATGGGAGCCACTTAGAATAGCAATGGTAAGTGGAATTCGAGAACAGAGGGTGCATCTCATCTGTTTATGTCCATAGCGTTTGGTGCAAACTCCAATAGAATGGAAACAGCAATGCCTGCAGTGAAAGTGCAGCCTGCCATGTTCCTCTGGGTGCTTGCTATGCTGAATCCCTTCACTTCTGCAATGTAAGGGTCACCAAAATCCCCTAGGGAATCTTGCCAGGATCATGTCCTGTTAAGAATCACAAGTGACCAGAAAAGGTCACTGTGCCTCTAGAACTAGAACTAGACATGTACCTGCATCTTTACACATCTACACAACCATGGGAAAAAAAAAAATCCCAAACCAGCACAGATTTTAGTTAGAAAGTATTTCAGATCCCACGCTCAGCAGCCACCACTTCAAGGCTGTGCGCAGCAGCAGGTACAAGTCATCTTAGAGTCATCAAGTAGCTGTTGCCAGTTGAGCCCAACAGTTCCCATGCACTCCTAACCAGGTGGGCACCACAGCTTCACAGCTTCCTCTCTGACCGTGCACTCCTAACCAGGTGGGCACCACAGCTTCCTCTCACCTCAGAGATATTTCATGCAGGGAAAATCCAGTCATTGCTTTCCCAAAGCTTTTATGTGTACCTGATAGTCCGATGCTTTACCAGAGCACTGGGTTTGCTTTTGGAGCAACAGTTTCTTGCCTGCCCATTTAGGTTTCAGGAATACCAGACAAAAAGGGCTCTGGAATATGTTCCTGCTGCCTGTTCTGGGCTATCTTCTTTCCTCTGGGCTCTCCAAATTAGGTTAGGAGCAGACTATGGACTGGATGAACAGTAGCTGCCTGCTCCTACTGACCAGCTTTCCTGTAAACACACACCTGCATGTGGCTGTCTAAACATATGTAAACAGAATAAAAGCTGTCTGCACCACATTCATCCAACAAGTTGCTTGTGTTGGGAGAAGCTTATGTTCAATGTTACACAAGTGTGAGTGGTTACTCCTGAGATGCCTAAGTGACAGTATTTTCCTGTAGTAATACAGGAAGGTGGTTTTCATTACATTATGGCCTCAGATCTTTATACCACCTGAGTATTAAATACTCTTCTAAGTGCCACAATGAAATAAATACGTGACAAACATATTTCATTTTTCTCTGCATGGTTACGTGAAGAACCAGCAGTACTGCACATACCCTCACTGATCTGCCTTCTCCATGGGAGCAGAATCTTCCTGCCATGATTGATTTATAACCTCCTGACACAGCTCATGAGGGAGCCAACTAGGGAAGGAACCCCACTGGATGTGTTGTTCACAAACAGAGGACTTGTGGGTGATATGATGGTTAGAGGGCATAGCAATCATGAAATTATAAAGGGGTTCAATTATTGGAGAATTAAGAAGGGGGGTCTGCAGAGGGAAGACTTTGGCCTGAGTCCCTTGGGAGACAGTCCTGAAGGGCACATGAGTCCAGGAAAGCTGGACATTCTTCAAGTAGGAAATCTCAAAGGCACAGGAGCAAGCCGTCCCCCTGTGCTGAAAGATGAGCCGTCAGGGAAGAAGAGGGGCCTGGCTGAACAGAGAGCTTTGGCTGGAACTCAAGAATAAAAGGCGAGTTTATGACCTTTGGAAGAAGGGGCAGGCCACTCGGGAGGACTACAGGGTTGTCATGAGGTTATGCAGGGAGAAAATTAGCAACACCAAAGCCCAACTAAAACTTCATCTGGCTACTGCTGTAAAAGACAACAACAAAATGTTTCTGTAAGTACATGAGCAACAAAAGATGGGCTGAGGAGAATCTCCGTCCTTTACTCAATGCAGGGGGAAATATAGTTAAAAGAGATGAGGAAAAGGCTGAGCTACTTAATACCACCGTTGCCTCAGTCTTGTGGGAAGATGAGGACAGGATGCAGAATGAAGCCCCCATAATCTAAGGGGAAATGGTTAATGACCTGCTGCAGCACTTCAACACACACAAGGCTATGGGGCCAGATGGGATCCACCCAAGAGGGGGCTGGCAGAAGTGCTCACTGAGCACCTTTCCATCATTTATCAGCAAACCTGGCTAATGGAAGGTCCCAGTTGACTGGAGGTTAGCTAATGTGACACCCATCTACAAGAAGAGTCAGGAGGAGGATCCAGGGAACTAGAGGCCTGTCAGCCTGACCTTGGTGCTGGGGAAGATTATGGACCAGACCTTCTTGAGTGCCATCACATGACACATGCAAGACAAACAGGTGTTCAGGCCCAGTCAGCATGGGTTTATGAAATGCAGATTTTGTTTGACTGACCTCAAGCCCCACCTTTAGGGGGCCTATAAGGATACAGGGAGGCTATAAGGATGCTGGGGAGGGACTCTTCATTATGGACTGTAGTGATAGGATAGAGGGTAACAGGTTAAAACAGGTAACAGAGGAAGTTTAGATTGGATATAAAGAGGAAGTTCTTTAAGGGTGGTGAGGCACTGAAATGGGTTTCTCAGGGAAGTTGTGAATGCTTCTTCCATGACAGTGTTCAAGGACAGGTTGGATAGAGCCTTGGGTGACATGGTTTAGTGTGAGGTGTCCCTGACCCTGGCAGGGGGGTTGGAACTAGATGATCTTAAGGTCCTTTCCAACCCTAACTATTCCATGATTCTATGACCTAATCTCCTCCTGTGACAAAGGTGACCAGCTTAGTGGATGAGAGAAGACTGTGGATGTTGCCTACCTAGACTTGAGTAAAGCCTTTTGACACCATTTACCATAGCATTCTCCTGGAGAAACTGCCTGCTCATGGCTTGGATGGATGCAATCTTCACAGGATAAAAGGATGGACACCTTACCGCTCCCTACCACTACCTGAAAAGAGGCTGTAGTGAGGTGGGTGTCAGTCCCTTTTCCCAAGTGGTAGGGCAAGAGGCAACAGCCTCAAGTTGCACCAGGGGAGATATAGATTGGATATTAAGAAAAATTTCTTCACCAAGAGGGTTGTCAAGCTTAGGGCCATGGTGGAGTCACCATCCCTGGAGGGATTTAGAAGGAGTGTAGATGTGGTGCCTAAGGACATTGCGCTGGACTTGGCAGTGTTAGGTTAATGGTTGGACTCAATGATCTTAAAAGCCTTTTCTAACCTAAATGAGTCTATGATTCTCTGTTATCATGAAGTTTCCTTCTTAGAAATACGCAGCTGCAGTCAGAGTCCTTCTGTATTCTTGGTATAGCAGCACTGTGTATTAAGCACAGAGTTAGTATGGTTAACCAAGCTCAAACCAATAATGAAAAAGGAAGCAATTTCACATAATTGGGGGTTTTATCCCTAACTATTTTACAGATGCAGAGATAACATTAACAAAGCAGTTCTGCTTGTTGTGCTGTCAGCTTTAATGTAACCTTTCTGATTAACAAAATTAGACAGCAATTAAACAGTGATCAAATTAGTCTTTATTGGTTCATCATTTATAACATCTGTAAGGAAACTGCCTGGAATTGTAAGGGTTGGATCTTTTATCCCACAGCGCTATGAAACAAAACTAACAGCAAAAAGTGACAGGCTTATTGCATGGATATTGACATACACAGCAGAGGGAAAGAACATTCTGACACAAGCCCTTAACAAAGGGTACTGTAATTTTGTTTAACCAAAATTTGTATTTAAGAACAAATATGGTCTTCTGCAAAACTCTTATGCTGCCACATGCAACCCCCCCCATCACTTAAATACATCCTGTTTGGGCACTTTTAAGTGTTTCCAGCGCCTCACAATTACTTTGTATTTTTCACTTTCAGTTTTGTTAGATACTTTTTTTAAGACTACCCGCATAACTATGGCAGTTTCTGTTTCTTTATCTTCACCTACTATGAGATCCAGCGTATCCCCAGTTTTCACCTGGAAACAGAAAAAGATGACTGATTATCAACATTTCCTGGGGAAAAAAATCCCTACAGCCTATGTCCAACTGTAACTGCTCCTTTCTTTCCATTTAATATTCTTATCTCCCAGGGCAGGAGGCAGGCAAGGCAACACCAGACACACTACAAATCCTCCAGCTATGAAATTCTAGGAAATCCCAGGCAATAAGCAATTAAACGTCTCATGACATTCTCTGCGAAAAGCTTTACCCTTCCTGTTCTATGGCTGACGCCTAACTGTGAAAAAGGTGCCATGTAGTATGTTGGAGGTTTTCCTGAAGGGTATTTCCTGCCAATCTTTTTGTATCAACACAAACCAGCAAAATGCAATGTTCTCCCTCCTGCCTTTAAAAGGGCATTTAGTGTTTCAGAGTGCTTGCCAACTGCCTATGTTCTTTTCAAACATCATACAAGCAGTATGCCTCTCAAAAACTAGTCTTTAGAGAACCAGGAAATAAAACTTATGACCCTTTGATGACCGTAACCACCATGTGGAACCACCCTCACACACAGGGTGGGTTGAAGTCTGTCATCATTCTGGCAAGCTCTTGTCATTACAGAGTATGGCTTGCAACCCTTCCGGCTCTTCTACCAAATGTGTTCCTGTGTGCTCTGCTACAAATACAACAACCTCACCTGAGCTCCCCCTGTTTCAATCCCTATCATCAAACTTTCTCCTTACTCATATGCCTGCTCCACCAGTATCTCAGATTCAATCTTCTGACTCCATCAACCTCACATCGGTATCATCACTTCCTTCAGCAACTTTGAAAGTTCTGTCCTTGCTGCCATCTGTCTTCTCCTGACTTTCTGCCTTAGATTTTACTCTCTAGTAACACAAGTCTCCTGCCTGCCTTAGAGAGTAACACCTTACCCAGAGAATCATAGTCACACACATACAAAGCTGGAAGTGGTGTTAGCGATGCTATTCATTTGCCCTTGCAGAGCAATTTAGAGGGAGAAGAGGTCATGCCTTAGTTATTTTCTTGTACTGTATGAAAAGATTAAATTGTAAAAAGTCTTACAGTTCTACTTTTCTTCCATAGTTTTTCTCCATTCAGCCTGAGTTCATTACTGTAGAATGCATCTTCTACTTTACTGAAGAAAAACAAGGTTTTATTGCATTTACAGTGTGCAATTGTTTCTTTGCAGATACACAAGAACACCATTCATGTGCAAGGCACGTTGCCACAGCTCTCATTTGTGCATAAAGGATACCTTTATTTAAGGTCAGGACAGACCTGAACTAGAAGTAAAGAAAAAGTCTTTCATAGATATTAAATGAAATAATAGAGTATAGTTGCTCTGTGCAAGCCATGAAAAGCTGTTTTTACAGACCTGTCTCCTGAATATCCAATGAATAATATCCCCTTTCCTGCACCAGCCAGGTTAATAATTTGTAACTCATCAAGTTATACTAACATTCTGTTTTAAAAGCACTGCAATATAAGGCTTCTGTAGGTTGCACTAGATCAAACACTGTGGTATATTTACGGACTGCACTCTGATATATTTACTAGTACATTAGGCTTATACTCACCATCACCTATTTCTACAGCCATTAAGTAGTGTATTATTTTACTCCCTCAATCTCAGATTAGATCTTTTTGTATTACTTAGTACAGTATTTTGTGGTTTCTTCATTTTAAATAAATAGCAACTGATAGAAAATGCCTCCTCAGCAATCTTAGAAATACTGCAGCCAGCAGAAAGCAGGCTGTTTCAAGGGAGGCAAGGTAAAACCCACAAGAACACCCATCCATCCAAAACATTTTTAGACAGTCAAAATAGCTATGCAAAAAAAAAACCCAACCAGCAAACAATGTCCCCCTCATCTCCCAATATTTAGTTATTCCAACATTAAAAGAGTTATCAAGCCTCAAATTTCAGATGCATGACACCTTTATCATGAGCAGGCTTCTTCTGCCATACTTACTTTCTTGCAATGTCTAGGCCAGCTTTCATGACCACATCGTATCGAAGAGACTGCACCACTTTTTCAAGATCCTTGTAATCTTTTACTACGTTGGGGTCATTTTCAAATTCATCCTCCAAATCGCTTTCCTCTTCGTCCTCTTCTTCCTCTTCTTCTTCTTGCACAGTCTGTCTGCTCCTTTTAGAGCTTTTGCTACTTTTATTCCGCAGAGGAAGTAGAGAGATATACTCTGGAGAAAGTCTTGGTGCACAGAGTTTTACTGAGGAAAAGCTGGGACATCTTCTGTAGTTTACTGTGCTTGCTTGACAGCTACAGAACATGCTTCTCCTCCAAGAGGGATACAGTTTATTAGAAGAGAACTTCTCCCACAGTCCAAACCAGACATTTAGCTTTCTAAAAGTAGTGATGGGGAGTCTGAAGCCAGTCATAGCATACCCTAAAACAAAACAAACATTCATGAGCAAAAATGAGCAACTGCTTTGTCTGTTGATGGATTTCTCCAGGTACAACATGACAGTTAAAACAAAAAGATTATAAACTAGTTCCCGGCAGAGCAATCAATGCATCACCTAAAAGCACAAGGCTATACCAACTGTATGATCTGCCTTTCTCACACACCACCCACCATTACAAAGAGATAAAACATCAGATGAAAAGCAAACACCAATAATCTGGAATAATCTGTTCATGATTCCTTTTCTGGTGTTCAGTATCAACTGTCAAACTCTGTCCAAACTCATTTGTGGCATTTTTCTCCCTACACCTGAAATACAATTAACAAAAGCATATGTCATAAAAAGCATATAAAAAAACATTTATCATGAGTCATCGTCAATAAAAACAACCTGCTCAATACTGCAAGCAAATAAACCCAGAAGAGTCAAAAGCTGCTTAACTTTAGATTCTGCTTGGACCACAACACTCCTGCATGGCAGAACACTGTAAAGCATCCTACCCTGTTTCTCCAAATCTAGCATCGTGGTCGAGTTTTAGAGAAACAACGCTGCTCTGTGTACTGCAATAGGGCTGACACCAGCAACAGCAGTCTCGCATGCTCCCCACCATGGGGAGCCATCTCTAACTGGGGACAAGTAGGAGAAACACACAAAAAACCACACCCCAGACGTCTTTCAACACTCTCAGGAATTGATTTCCAGCTCTTCCTAGTTCGGTGGAGCACTGCCTTTTATTACGACTTGCATGTGTGGAAACACGTGTTTCTTCCTGAGACTGGAGCTTGTTTTCCCCACACCCAAGAGAACTCTGCTGAGATCTTTATGAGGTGGTTTTTGTGGCTGGGAAAAAGCCCTGATCAACGAGGGCAATTATTAGCCAAATAAAAAGAACCACACCTCCCTTGGCTTTCCTGTATTTAAATGCATGAATTTAAAATACATGACATATAAAGTTTACGGTGGGTCAATCCTCACTTAAGACTTGGCACCTCTCCTCCTTTTGGGGACAAACTCCTAGAACAGTTATTTGAACGTGTAACCAACTATTCTTGCTTATTTCTACTGCTCATTCCTACTTCGTTCCCCCTGACCGGCGGGTACAACCGGCCGCCGAGAGAGCCCCTGCCAGGAAGGCCGAGAGCCGCCCCACACGCGAAGGGCGTCTTCTCACCCTCATGAAACCTGAATGCGGACAGCGATGAGCCTCGCTGCCCGGGGAGGACACAAGTCCGAACGCTGCCGGGAGCTGGCAGCCCGTTCAAAAGCACGCAGCCGAGACAACGCCAGCATTCACGGCGTGCGGTGCGGGCCCGCAGACACACAACCCCCCTCCCGCCGCGGGGACGGTCTCTGACCCTCTGTAGCGGGCCCGCCTCTGCTCGGGGTTCCCAAGGAGCCCCGGCTTCCCTGGCCGCCTCCTCGGCGCAGGCCGCGGCGCGCAGGCCTGCCCTTCGCACCGGACCCCGTGCCCCAGACCCGCGACCTTGGGGCCGGGAGAGGAGGGAGGGGCGCGAGGAGAGAAGGGAGGCCCGGCAAGGCTCGGCGCGCAGCGGGCCACAGCCTAGGCGCGGTTACCTGGGTCATCCAGGCGCCTCGGGCCCGGGCCTGCTGCTGCCGTCCCCACGCCGACGCTCGCAGGCTGGAGGCGGAGCCGCCTCAGCCGGGGCTCGGCGCCCTCTGCCGGAGCTGGAGCCCGGAGGAGCGGCTGCAGGCGGCGGGGTCCTGTACCCGGGAACAGAAGTTCCCCGGGAGGCGGCAGCCTGTGCCTCCCACCTCCCCTCCGCCGGTCCCCTGCCCCACGCAGGTCCGTTCGAGCTGTTACTCCATCGTTATTTTCCAACGCACGCTGGTTTGGAGGTGGGGGGAGGCAGAGCGCGGGTCTGCCTGCCTGGGTGTCTCGGCAGCAGCTTCCCCCCAAGCCCGAGAGAGGTTGCCGGCGAGCCCCGCTGGGCAGGGCTCTTTCTCCCTCCCTCCCTCCCTCCCCACCGGTGCTGCTCTCTCACTGCTGCACAGTGAAAGCACCCTGAGTAATGACATTAATACTTTTCATACCGTTTTTATTTTACGCACCTCTGATCTTCCCTTTGTAATACTTTCGGCCCCTCAGGCTCTGCCCACACGCCCAAACCAGAAAGCAGTGAAAATCTCTCACTAGGGAGATGACTCCTAGAGTTTCCTGACCACAGACTAATAGGAAAGCTTGGCCGCTGTGACAGTCTAAGACAAATCCTATTGCGGCCTGCGTTTTCCCTGTCCTTATCTTTGTTACTTTCCTTCACATTATGTCCCCCGCTTTCACTCCACACCCCCATTACATGGTGGTAATCCATAATCCCTCCTCTTTGGAGCTCAGAAACCAGGACAGGTCCATTCCCCCCCCCCCCCCCTCTTCCTGCCTTCTCCCAGCTTTCTCCATGCCATGCACCAACCACCTCTCTTGGTGCTTTGGGATGCCCTGGTTACTCATCATTTGGTGAATTCTCTGTGTCCCTACAAACCAGCAACAAAATGCAATCCCATCAGATTGGCAGCATCTTGCCCTGGTGTAAATGGTTGTACAGGTTTGGTGTAATTTTAGCAGACGGAAGACCTCCTCAGCTTTAAAGTTCTGCTTCAAAATGCCTGTTACCTGTCACCTCACCTTAGAGACCCATCCTCCCTTGGAAAATTATCAACAAATATGATGAGTCATATAACTGTGGAGATAACTGCTGTACAGCAGCTCTGCAATGAGCATGGGCAGTATAAGTGCTTAATTTTATGCTTCTATAAACTTGGCCATAAAACATTTGATTGAGAGGTTCTTATGCCAGGGATATTTTGTAATGGAGCAGTTCCTTGGCAGAGCTATTTCCCTGCCTTAGAAACCTCCCTGGAAAGGAAGATCCCAACATCTTTATGTAGTTTGAATACCCCAGTGCCCAGTTCTGTGATATCTGATCAATGTCGGTGGGAATATAGCTGTTAGCTTTATAGCACTTTCCCCCATATCTCTTGAAATACACATATCCTTATTAGGAGAGAAAACCAAAAAAAGGTTGGTAAGAGAAACTTTCTTGCATTTCTAGTGGCATGCAGTGAGTCAGAATAGAAATGAATGTCTCAACAGAGGGGATTCCCTGCGCAGAAATATTGTCTCCTCTGGGAGAGGAGGAACCCCACACCCAAATCCCAATAAAACCTCCTCAAGCCTAGCTCTGCATACACCCCATTCTTTTCAGAGCCTTTAGAATCTGATTTGCCTCATGTAGGATTAAAATCTTGCTTTAACTTTGCAAAGAGAGAAGATAACTTACAGTAAACAAAGATGTAAGTATTAGTCTTTCTAGGTTAGTCTGATAGTATACATCTTTATTGCCTCTCATCTCAAAGGCAAGGTAAAGAACATGCCTGAAGTCCCTCTGTCTGTTATATTCATCAAATATGATGACCTAGTGGTATCTTACAAAACCAGAAAGTAATCCACAAAGCAGAATAAGAAGGGCTACAATATGTACTCCACTTGTGTGAAGTCCTGGCAGCTTCCAACCTGGGTCATGAAGTGCATTTATTAATTACAAAAAAGGCAAAAATTAAGTATTATTATTTAGATTATTATGCAGTATTAATTACTCCTGAGTTACTTACATTAAATTGTAATTACAACCAAAACGTTCCGACGGGTGACCAGTCTGAAAGTCTCTTCCTGTACTTTGCCGTTAGATGGCAGTGCAGAGCTCCCTCTGCACGCAGCCGCCAGCTCAGGCTGCGCTCTCTGAGGCTTTGCTGAAACAGGCTGGTCAGCGCAGAGGTCTCACAGGGGTGTTCTTTAAGCTGCTTTCAGGCGATTCGAAGCATTATTTTATTTTATTTTATTTTATTTTATTTTATTTTATTTTATTTTATTTTATTTTATTTTATTTTATTTTATTTTATTTATTTATTTATTATGCCATTTTATTTTATGTGATTTTATTTTATTTCAAATCATATGACTCCTCAGCAACATACAGTGAAAAGTTTCAGCTTTGGTAAGAAGCAGTGATCAGTCACACCTGGCAGGTTAGTGGTGGTCTATGCATCCTTTTGAAGTTTGGGTGAGAAATTAGTCTGATGAAGATGTATTCTTCTTCCCATGGCTATTCTCATAGAACTGCTTCATTCCTTTTTTTTTTTTCAGTGGAGTCACCTCCTGTCTAGGAAGGGTAATTCCTCTCTGGTTTATGGTTTTCATTTTGTGTATTTCAATATACTCCCTATGACATTCACGTACAAGGAGATTTGTCTTTTAGTTTTGATAGCTCAGAGAAAAAAAATCATGATAGCTTTTGACTTGTATGTGGGAATCTGTAATTGGAAGTTCCCTCCCCACTGCCTAGGGTTTTTTGTTACCTTTATTTTCCTGCAAGGTAGGTCAAGTGACAGCAGTAGATCTGCTGACACTCATTCAATGTCAAAATAAAGCCATGTTGCCATTCCAGCCCTGTGAGTAGCTCTGACTAACGTTCTGCAATGCACATCTCACCAGATTACTTGTCACTGCAGATTTAACTTCAGCATTAGCTCGTTGGAACCACATGCCTTTTAAATGACACTGCTTATTTCAAGGTGTACTGAGAAGGTTCAATGCATATTTATGCAGCCTGGGAAAACACAGTGTCCCTGTGTCAGCATCACCTTTAAGTTTGTCCATATTAAGCTGAATAATGAGCGAAAGCTCCCTGACTGCTAATTCACCTCTTCCAGTGTCACACTTACTGTAGCTGCTCAGGTGTTCCCTTTTCTTAGTCCATAGTCTGGAGGCAATTTCTCTAGCTTGCTACTTGCATCCAATCCATGACCAAATAATCCCACCATCTCTTCCTCTAAAGCCCATCTCTGAAAACTAATCTTTCATGCAGCAGAAGCTCTTTTTCTAGCCCTTCCAGTGCTGTCTTTTCAGTGGGAGCCCTGCTCTAAACTTCTCACACATTTACCCATATAATGTACTGTACCATTTTTACTATAAAACATTGTTTTTCTTCTCTTTAGGACACCTTTAATGTCTCCAGCCCCAATGAACACTGAAACTTGGCTCTGTCTCTCTCCATTTACCAACTCCTTATGATGCCATTTCAACTCTTGCAGTAACAACCACATTGTGAACTTCTGTACACTTTCTTTTCTGCAGCCATACTGGCATCCTGCACAGAGAATATCTTTCTAGAAGGCAGCAAGGTCTCACAAAGTACCTTTGCTTTCAGCCTACTTATTCCTTGAAAACTCATCTTTGACATTATAGTGGATAACTAGTAAGGTAAGGTGGGTAAGTTTCAGGTATGTAATGTGATTGTTTTACATTTCTTTAAGTGACAGAGATATAGGTATATAAAGTAACATTCTTTTCCCCCCTCCTCCCACCCTTTTCACTATCTGACTAACTGCTATAATAGAAAGGAAATGGAGATGGGCAGTGCAGACTGCTCTGACCAGTGCTGAAGAAGCTGATAAAGGCCACCCTCATCGTGATGACCCATCTAAACCAGAAATACATAGCTGCCTTGCCAGTGAAAATCAGTGTTACATCAGTGGTTAAGCAAATGGGAGGACAACAGTGAGTAACTTCTTTCAGTCAGCCTGGTATTAAGCCTCAGAAATTAAAGGCTCTGCAGTTTCACTGCTAATTCTTCCACTCCCCACTTTGCTGAGAGATTTGCAATGAGATGTTCTTGTTTGTTTTTCCCCTCAGTTTCTTGTTTATCAATTGTCTAAAACACTTTTTTTTTTTTTTTTGTAGGAAAAGTTAATTTTTCCTTAGACAGGCTTTCAGACTTTCATTCATTCTGTAGTGAACATGCTCAGGTCCAGATCCTCTGTAGGATTTATCTAGGTACCACTAGCAGTGGTTGGCAAATGCAGTAAAAAGGAAAAGCAATCAATTAAGCATTTTTTATTTGAACCTTACTTATTAGCCATAGAACTATGAATTCCATGAGAAAACTTTAATTAGTTTGAATTATTTGTTTACTTCTGTTTCCTCTGTATTCTGCTCAAATTAATGTCTTTACTATTTAGAATATAATGTTCTCTAATTGATAGTAACTAATACAAGATATACTCAAGTCTAACGTAATTAATTTTCAATGAGGAAATTTAAATTTTTCCTCCTAGATTTGTGTACAATTAAAGTTTGTTGGGTTTGCTAGGTTTTTTTAACTGGTTTGTGTCACGTTTGCTTTTAAAGGCAAAAAAAAGGCTGTTCAAAATATTTCATCTTCCATTGTGGCTAAGGGGCAAAGTTGCCTTGATTGGCACTTACAAACATTACTGCATTAGGAAGGAAAAAATCATCTGTAGGTTTCAATACACTTTTGATATTAAAAAAGAAATAATATAATTAAAGATGCAATAGGGAGGCTAGAATGTCAGAATAATCATATTGCTCGGTGCCAAGGCTGTCTCGTCCTTTCACAGCTCCAGAGATATTAAAGATACGTAAGTCACAAGTCACACAGTAGGAAGATTTGGGATGATCTGTCTCCCAGGGAAGTGTGTCCTTGCAACACTTGCTATTTAAACTCTCAGTGTCCTCATCCCTGCAGCTTGCCTAATGATACCCTGTGACAAAGAGTTCACCATCTGAAAGATACATGAAGTCAACACTTAGTGATACACAATACATGTCTCTTTTCAGCAGTTCATCTTTTCAAATCGTAAACTGCTCCCTTTGTCTACTAAGAAATGGGAAGAAGAACTAATCTGCTTTCTAGAACTTGTCCATTTATACATATTTTAATAATTTTTTGTTATTTTGTTTTCTAAAATAAACAGTTCCAACTCTCTCTGTTCCTGTTTGTCAGTTCTTTTGATGATTCATTCTCATTACCATGTTATCTTTGCCTGTCCTGTACTCAAACTAGAAAGTACCCAGAAAAGGTTACAAAAGAATAAGCTTTTCAGGATACCATGCCACAGTCATGACTAGGAATGAAATCTGAAACTGTATAGTCTGTAAGGCAGTTACCTTTTTATATATACTATCTTTTTGATAACTGTGGGTAAAAATCTGCCTTGTCTACTGCCAAAAAGATAGCAGTAGATAAAAATTAAGCAAACAGTAACAAAATATGGAAATGGAAGACTACTGTATTCAAATTGCAAGATACAGATTTTCAACACTTCTCAAGAGAAGATAAGGACTCCCACTGTTATTAGACAAAAAACATCGGTCTTGAAGTGTGTCAGAGAGAGAAGAAATCCCAACAGTCATAAACTAAAGATGATGGTTAAAATGACTAGTAAGGATGCAGAGATTTTCAATAAATGGTTTTCATTTGTTTAACCATAGAATCATACAATAGTTAGGGTTGGAAAGGACATTAAGATCATCTAGATCCACCCATACTGCCATGGGCAGAGATAGCTTATCCTAGACCACATTGCCCAAGGCTCTGTCCAACCTGGCATTGAACACTGCCAGGGAAGGAACATTTACCACTTCTCTGGGCAACTTATTACAGTGCCTCACCACCCTCACAGTAAAGAATTTCTTCCTTGTATCTACCTGAACTTCCCCTGTTTAAATTTAAACTTGTTACCCCTTATCCTATCACTACAGTCCCTGATGAAGAGTCCCTGTCCTTGTAGGCCCCCTTCAGATATTGAAAGCCCCAGCTTTCTGAGCCTGTCTTCATACTGGAGGTGCTCCAGTCCCCTGATCATCCTCGTGGCCTTCCTCTGGACTTGTTCCAACAGTTCCATGTCCTTTTTATGTAGAGGACACCAGAACTGTACACAATACTCCAGGTGAGGTCTCACGAGTAGAGGGGCTCCTTTGACTTCCTGGCCAGGCTCCTTTTGATGCAGCCCAGGATACAGTTGGTTTCTGGGCTGTGAGCACACACTGAAGCCGGCTCATGTTCAGTTTGTCATCACCCAACACCCCCAAGTCCTTCTCCGCAGGGCTGCTCTGAATCTCCTTTCTGCCCAACCTGTAGCTGTGCCCGGGATTGCTCCAACCCAGGTGTAGGACCTTGCACTTGGCATGATTAAACTTCATGAGGTTGGCATCAGCCCACCTCACAAGTGTGTCAAGCTCCCTCTGGATGCCATTCCTTCCCTCCAGCGTATCAACCGAACCACACAGCTTGGTGTCATCGGCAAACTTGCTGAGGGCGCACTCAATCCCACTGTCCATGTCAGCGATGAAGATGTTGAACAAGACCGGTCCCAACACCGATCCCTGAGGGACACCACTCGTTACTGGTCTCCAGCCGGGCATTGAGCCATTGACCACAACTCTTTGTGTGCGGCCATCCAGCCAGTTCTTTATCCACCGAGTGGTCCATCCATCAAATTGATGTCTCTCCAATTTAGAGACAAGGATGTCGTGTGGGACAGTGCCGAACGCTTTACACAAGTCCAGGTAGATGACATCAACTGCTCTACCCCTGTCCATCAGTTCTGTAGCCCCATCACAGAAGGCCACCAAAGTGGTCAGACAGGGTTCCCCCTTAGTGAAACCATGTTGGCTGTCATGAACCCCCTCATTGTTTTTCATGTGCCTTAGCATGCCTTCCAGGAGAATCTGCTCCAAGATTTTGCCAGGCACAGAGGTGAGACTGACTGGTCTGTAATTCCCTGGATCATCCATTTTCCCCTTCTTGAAAATGGGGGCTATAATTCCCTTTTTCCAGTTGTCAGGAACTTCATCTGACTGCCATGATTTTTCAAATATGATGGACTGTGGCTTAGCAACTTAATTCCCCAGCATCTTCAGGACCTGCAGATGGATTTCATCAGGTCCCATGGACTTGTGCACATTCAGGTTCTTAAGATGATCTTGAACCTGATCCTCTCCTACAGTGGGCCCAAGGTCTTCGTTCTTACAGTCCCTGCATCTGCCTTCCAAGACTTGAGTGGTGTGGTCAGAGCACTTGCAGGTGAAGACTGAGGCAAAGAAGCCATTGAGAACTACAGCCTTCTCCAAATCCAGGGTAGCCAGTTCTCCCAATAGCTTCCAGAGAGGGCCCGCATTATCCTTATTCTGTCTTTTGCTTACAACATACCTGTAGAAGTCCTTAATGTTATCTTTGATATCCCTGGTCAGACTCAATTCTAATTGGGCCTTAGCTTTCCTGACCTGATCCCTAACTTCCTGGACAATATCCCTGTATTCTCCCCAGGCTGCCTTCCTTGCTTCTACCTTCCATAAGCTTCTTTTTCCTTCTAAGTTTTCTCAGCAGTTCCTTATCCATCCATGGAGGCCTCCTGGTCTTCTTGCCCCATTGGAAAATGAGCAGAGTGAAGTAGCAGTGTAATATCAGGGTAACTACTTTTTCATCCACTGGTGAGAGAGGTAATGCAGAATATCACAGCCACTGGGAAAAATCAGGTACTTACATAGATAGTGCTCAAGCTAATGGCAAGAAAAAGGTGGTTCCACTAATTGCAACCAGTAATAAATCTTATCATAGAAGTAAAATAAAAATTCAAGGAGATGGTGAAAGGGCTAACATTGCACTGTTGTTCAAGAAATGGAGTGAGATAATCTCAAAATTACATCAGACCACGAATGTTACAAAGCTGCTGCTGCTGCAAAATAAGAGACATTTCTTTCTAAGCTGCATCTACAGAGTAGCTGTATGCTGAACTGTTGGCTTGAGTGGAGTGTGCTACTTCAGGCAATATGATCTGATGAAGACAGATTTGAGAATGTATAAAGGCAAGAGGCAAAAATGCATAGAAATTCTGTGAAATAAGGTTGAAGAAACAATATCTGTTCCTCAAAATAAGGGAAAATAGAAGTGGCAAATGTCTGAGCTACTAGTCGACACTCTTTTGATTGTCAGTGAAGAGAGGAAGGCATCTCCAGGATGTGATTAATCTGTTTCACATGTTTATGTTGAAATGAGATGAATTACGTCATAGAAGCACTCACTTCCCTTCCAAGGGAAGCACTCACTTCCCCCACCAAGGATTTCCAAAGAGACTCATTTAGATGTAGACAGCTGCTATCATGTCACCCTTCTTTCCTTCTCTCAGTGTGAAGTGCTTGATATGTTTTCAACTGGTAAACAGTTTGTGATATATCTGACCATCATTATTATCTGTGTACTTTAACATGGCAATGTAATAAACCATTACTTTAAATCTGCAGCGAAGAAGACTTTGTATTAAGAGAATTATTCTGCAAAGATAGTTTGACAAAGAAACAGGAGGCCTATGAACTATGGAATACCGTTCACTGATTTTGCCCTGAGAATTATGTTTTAACCTGCATCAGATCAGAAGACACAGAAAATTGCTTTTGATCATTTTTACTTCTGCATGTCCATAGACCTGTTATCTGACATTATGCCTCAGGAGTTGAAGGAAAGCCTGTCTTAATTTTGTCCCATACCAAGTAGCGTGATCTCAAACAATTCCTGAGCATGATTCAGGGGTTGGTTCAGGCCATGCACAACTACCCACCAATAGGCAATTCAGAGTCAGCCTCCATTTTCTGGAGGCTGGAAGAGTTTAATAGTATGGGCATGGCTAGACATGTCAGTTGGCCTCAAGGACAAAGAGCAGGCTCTGCTACCATTTAATTTGTATTGATGTCACCCAAGAGTTTGCTTGACTTAGGGAGAAAGGTGTGCTTTCAAGCAGATCTGAAGCCACACCTAATTGTGTAAGCTGACACCATCCCTTGAAGTTTACCCAGAAATCAAAAGATCCATGGGTGTTAGGGTGGCAACTCTTAAACATTTCTTCTTGAGACTATTTCTGGAATCACAGTTTCCCTTCTGCGCAAATTTCCGGGTTTATGATTCCAGGACTTTGTTTGCTTCCATAACCATACACCTCTAAATTAGGCCAGTCTAATGCTTTTTGCCTCAGATTGGCATAGAAGGGAAACTGACACTACTAGAACCCTGGTGTAATCAGAGTCTGGATTGTGGCAGCAGGGCCCACATCTGAAGATATGTATAGTTGAATCCAGTCAGCGTTTGTTATCAAGTGGAGATTGACAGTACAACCCATCATACCTTCCATTAAAATCTCTACTAACATAAATTTAATATAAGCTTTCCACTGGAAGAAGGAATGTAATCCTCAATACATATTCCAAGTTCTTACCCAAGACACATGTCAAAGAGCTTTGTCCAGTTGTCTAAAATCAGTTTCAACTTGCCAGTTCCCACAGTATTTCAGTCTTGTTCTGCAATGATAGTGGAAGTGCAAATGTAAAGAAGGGTGCTTCAAAAAATCCATCAAATTTTGATTATATGGCTGGAGCTTTGATGCTTCTAAAGACTAAACAAGTAGCAGGACAAGGGCCAGCCTAACTTGTGAAAAGATGGTGTTCCTATGTATTAGGAAATATTGTCCTGTGAGTTTCTCAAGGCAAAATCCAATATAGCAAAAGCAGACATCAAGGAAACTTACCACCAGATGTTGTCAGCATAGATCAGCACACATGGGCTAGTATGTGCAAAGCTGGATTTCAAAGCTGTCCCTTGGAAAAAGATCGTGTTCTAACATGTAAATGCTACTGCTAAACCCAGGACAATAACATTCACATATGGGTATTAAATAACTAAAATAACTCATAATATGACACAGGTGAGTACTATTTAAAATATTTAAGTTTAAATGGATTGATACTGGCAGCTAAAAGGCACAAGTAAATTAATGGTTCAGTCACAATCAGTTCTCATGAATTCCACTCAGTGCTCTGACTATATTTATTTTGCTAAAGCTTGCTCAAATTTCAATACTTTATTTATATGTCTCTGCTTCCTTTTACAGACAATCAGGGTGTTTTTTTCCTGCCAGTCATTTTAGCTAATCTTGTTTGCTAATGCATTATACATAGCAGCACAAGTTTTGCTTCTCATCACTAGATTGAAAGTTAGGCCTATTGCAAAATTCAGTTGACTTAAAAGTCACCAGTGGAATATACAGCTGAAATCACATTTAACTCAAAAGATCAAAGTAATTTTCTCCCTTCTCTTTGGTAAGCTTTCTCATTAAATATTATGTGTTTAACTGTGGAAGGTGCTGAGTACTAATTGGACCCAGAGAAAAGTAAAGGAAGCAAAACAATGGGATTTTAACAATAATATTTAACACTGTATCTTGGCATCATGAGAGTACTTAGAGCACATTGCTGTCAAAGGATGTTTGATTGACAGAGTATATGGTCTTTTATGACAGAAAAAAAAAACGTAAGTGCCTTTTGGCCACCAGATAGCAGTGCTTCACTTTATACAGTTCTCAACTCAATTACAGTGTTGCTTGCCTCGTAGAAAAATCTATATATTGGATCCTGGTCTCTTGCACAGATACATCTTTTGCAGACTTCATTATAGACTTCAGATGAAAAAAAAAGTAAAGATTTTGGAATTAGGAGTGCAGGTGATTTATGTGTTCAGGAGGAATCAAGAATATTGCAGCTTTCCTGAATGGAGAGAGTTGCTTGTAGAAATCTAATGGAGCGTAGGCATTATAATTCTATTTTCCAATGACAAAAGTTTCAAAGAAAGTCTTGGGCTTAACATATTTTTAGCACTTCTCCCTTGCTGCCAGTACATTTCCTTATTTGCATTAGAATTTGAGGAATAGTTCAGAGAGGTATGGTTTATAGCCTCAGAACATAAACTTAACATTGTTTTATTATTTCAGTTAATTTATCATCCCTGCCAAATATTTTAAAGCCTCTGTGTTTTTCTTCAGTTTTAAATAAAGGAACTGACTTTATAAGATTTTTAGGAAAAAAAAAAAAATCTCCATTTTTCACTGAAACTTGTAAAAAGGCCAAAAGTGGAATATACTAATATAATAATATTAATAATAAGCAGTTGTATAATGCTGTGTGGTTCATGTCACCTTACAAGAACCATGCATCATCCTAATTTTTTATTGATGCAGTTCTAAACCTCAGGTGAGGTGCACTGGGTAGAGTGAATGGGAAAGGCTCTCTGATAGTTATTCCCTTATTCTCACTTGTCCCAATTTTGACATTAACATGTCTCAGCTGCTGCTTTAACCTGCAGCAGCCAGTTATGATCCTGACAGGAGTGTGCAACAGGAGGGTGCAACAGCAGTATAGCTTCCTTTTCTCCCAAACAAGGAGGAGAGAGATTATAATGGAAACCATCTCTGTCAGCTTTACACTAGAATATTCTTTGCTCGGGCTATTGTAGAGCCCTAACCAGATTTCCTTACTTTTGTAGCTCCACCAGGGGACCCAGTGTCAGAATGGCATGAGCCCTCACTTTGTTTGATTGACGTGACTTCTCTCACAGGGAATTTCACTTTTCTCTAGCATTAGGCATGTCTACCGAGTGAAAAGGTGATCTTCCGTCCCGTTTGTGATTTCATTTAACTGTGACAACTCAAGCAAACTCTTTGTAAGGAGAAGTAGTGACAGGAAAGTTTTCAGCTTTGTCACCCATCTCTTATTCTAGGCCATCACAATTTCCTTTTTTCTCTTCATCTATAGTCGTGAAAACCCATCTTCTGGTAACCATCTTAGAGCAAACAGCCAGCAAGTATTCAGAGATGTAGGACCTTCAATTTGATGACTATTCCTATAGCTATTCTGTAGATAGACTATGTCTCTAATAGGAAATTGATGGGAAAATGTCACTTCAGGAGTGCATTAGGCTTAGTGTAGCTCTCAGAAGGTCTTTCATTTTGGTATGGAACAAGGATTGCTATCTTGGGTGGTATAGCTCGCAAAATGCCTTTATTCCTGGAAAACCAAAATTGCAATAGCTTTGTCAGGCATTCTGAAGCAATTAATGTGGGGCTGGCTTTAGAGTGATATATTTTTTCCTAACACAAGTCCCGGCATCTGGTCCTTGCCCTTGTTTCCTGTGCCTTGGGACCCAGTTCTATCAACGTCCTTAGAAACTCTCAAAAAGCAGTCCTGCCCCTGGAGATGGCAAATGAGTTAAGTAGTGCTGAACCTGGATATCTCTTCACACTTTGTTCTGAGATAAACATGAACATATCCAAATCTAAAATCCATTGATTAGTCTGAGCTACCAGGACATCTTTTAAACGGAAAGAACTGCTTTGTCACAATAAGATCAGCACATCAGCGTCTCTTTTTTTGCAGTTTATACAGCAGACACAAATATTTTTGCTAATTTGGCTGTACGCTGAAACACCTGACTGATTGGTGAGACACTGGCACAATCTATTGTCTATTAAGGGAGGAGATACTATTTAACTGTAGTGCTCACTGTGCCAGAAGCTAGAACCTTAAATACACAGAGGCTGGCAGAACTGTTCCACTTGTTACACGGGTTTCCTACTCTTTAAGAAACAATGGTAACAATGAAATATTTAGATCCAGAGAGTGCTTTTAATTGCAACCTGTGGTTTGAAGTCTGAGCACCAATGGTAAGGCAGCTTGGAACGAGATAGGATCTGAACTCCTCAGCCTTTCACCCACTGTCCTCATCAACTGGAAGTACTTACAGCCTTCCTTACCTTTCCTTCTCTCTCATGATTTGATATTAATTTATTTTTTAAATGAAAATGCTTCATGTTTCTACAAACGGAAGACTTTCTCAAGAGTGACTGCAACCCAACGTCTGCAGCCCTGTGCCAGCCCCTCCGTACCAGAAACGAAACGCCGGCGCTAGACAAAGGCACCGCCGCCCGTCACACCTAGACGGGGGGTACCAAGCCTGGCGGGTCTGCCGAAGGCAGGGAAAGAGAACGGCTAGCACGGCCCTGCAGGCGCTGCCCCAGCGTCCCGGCCCCGGGAGGGGAAGAGGAGCCCGAGGGGGTGCGGGGACTCGCGGGGCGGGGGCAGAAGTGTGGGGAGGAGAAGGGGGAGGGGAAGGAGGAGGGGGTAGGCGGTGGCGGGGCGTCACGAGAGCCCGCGCTGCCGTTAAAAGGCCGGGCGCGGCCGAGGGGCGCATCCTTCTCGCCTGCAGCCACAGCGGCAGGAGCTGTAGCAGGCGCACCGGCAGCGCGGCAGGACAGCAGCAGCAGACGGACATGGGGACGGCGCTGGCGGCGCGGCTCGGCCTGGGGCTCCTGCTCATGGCCCTCCTCCTCCCCACGCAGGTGAGCCCCGGAGCGGCTCCTCGCTTCCCCGCCGGCGCGAGTGCGAGAGGCGAGGGAGCGGCCACGCCGAGACCCTCCCGCAGGCTCCCGGCACCGCGGCGGTGGCCCCAGGACCGGGTTGGGGCGGGTTTCGCCTGAGGGGCCGCTGGGCTGGCGGCCGTTAGGGGTGCTGCCGCCATCCCGCCGCCCGGACCCCCCGCAGCGGTGCCCCGCCGAGCGGCTCCTCCGCCTCCGCCCAGGCGGGGAAGCGAGCCCGGGCAGCAGCGGCTGGCGAAGGGCAGCGGGGCTCGTCCCGCAGCCCTCCCGGCGGCAGGAACGGGCTCGGGCGGGCGGTGGGTACGTGCCCAGTGCCCCGAGATGGCGATGCCGGGTTACCCACGTCAGAACAAAACCAAAAACCCCAGAAGAAGTTGGAGTTGGCCGCCTTTCTTTCCCTCGGATCTTCGAGGGAAAGCCTCGGGGAGCAGCGTTAATCCCCCCCCCCGCCCGGTGATAAGAAGAGGAACGATCCCCCGAAACCTAAGTTAGCTCCGTAAGGGCAGCAGCACCCTGCTCAGAATCTCCCCGCACCGTATGAGGCTTTGGATCCTGTTCTAGGGTCATGGCGGGAGCGGGAGGTTTGGGATCTTGAGGCTAAGACAGTAGCCTCTTGCTGCTGGGCTGGCCAAGTTTTACCCTTGCTGCAAAGGTAATGAATGCAGTAGCGATTTGGCTTTCTGTAAGCAGTCAAGCCAAGCGGGGCTACCAACTACCGCATCCATGTGTAGAGACCACCTTTTGAAAAAGGTCCGTTTTGCGGTATCACAAAAATAAACAGCAAAGTAATTCCTTTGCTGGAGGTTGCTTTAAATATTCCCCCCCAAACCTCCCCCCTTTGTTTGTAAGGAAGGGCTTTATCCCTTCTCCATTGCGCTCAGTGGAGTCTTACCCGCGGCAGTGATGAGAGCAGGATCGCACCCTTTGGGTTACCAGTACTTGTCACATGCACGTTAAGAAGATCTGCAAGGATTCTACCTACCATAGGGCTGTGGAACTTCGATCTAAGCCCTGCCACTTCCACAATAAAAAAACCCTAAAAAATAAAAAAAAAAAAAATCGATAAACTGGGTTTTCTGTTTAAAATTAAGAAAACAAAGTGGGAAACGGCAGTGGAGACTTTGTATAAGGACCAAAAGAATTCCACGGCGGGTTGGGACCTGTCTGGTATCCAGCTTGCAGGTTATTAACACTGCAATTCATTATTGATCACTTTCGGACTGGTTTCAACAGAAACTTCCACACAGCAATTTCTTTTTTTTAATCCTGCAGTCCTAAATTGCTTCCAGCATGTGGCCAGTTGCCAAAACCCCAAGCTACCAAAAGCCTTACACCATTCTGGTGTTTTTCTATTTCATGCTTATTTATTTACTCCCATGTAGAAAATAATTAAAGAAAATGCTCATGGAATTTTCCAGTAAATTTAACATTGATTTCATGGCTTCAGTGTTGAGGAACTGTAATTTATTTTTTCTGCTAGAGAAAATTAATTTTCTCAGTAACACTAGAAATATGAGACAATAAAGACACCTTTTATGGAAAGTATTATTTATTAAAGTAGTTTTTATTGGGGTTTTTGTTGTGGTTTTTTTTTTTTAAAGAAATCTGGGTTTACTTCAGCTAACTCTTATCAGAGCTTGCCAGAATGCTCTGGTGTAATACAAGTTTGCTGCCACAGAGCTGCTGACACCAAGCTTGCTGTATTGTACTCATTTTTGGGGGATTCTTGCCCTTGTTTTTTCACCCTTGTGTACCACATGCATTCTTCCACAGGAAGAAAAGAGCACGTTAGATTAACTTTGAAAGTTTTCCTGTGTATGTGTAGGAAATAGCCTGGTACTGAAGTTACATAGGGTGTATTTTATGTTCTATCACTATAATGCAGAGTTATGGGAAGGAATTGTTTTTGTTGTTGTTAGCTTGCTTTCTGTCAGCATTTTTTAAATTAGCTATTATTATATGCTATCCACCGCATTCTTTATGCGTGTGCTCTAGCATGCAGATAGGTTATGGTTTAATCGGTGCAGCTCCATTGTTCTAAGTTCTGCAGTTTGGTACTACCACAGCAAGATAAGAATCAAGAGAGGCTGAGATATAAAGTCCATTTACAAATCCCACTATTGCTTGAAAGCAATCCCCAAACCAGGCTCAGAAACAGTAGCAATGGAAAACAAAACCAGTATTTGCTTATATTTTTGTTTGTGGTTTAGTCTGCAGAGGCAATGAATTCATACAGTTGTCCAAAAGTCTTTTCATAGTAAGATTTGTATTTGCATAGCTTTACATTTGCCTTTTTTTTTTCTTTTTCAGTGTGAGTTTTTCTGAAACCTGCTTCTCTAGGTCTAACTTTTGTTTTAGGGCAGGGTTTTGACAAAGTGGTAGTTATGTAACATCAGAAAAACACTTAGAAAAATGTTAGATTTAATTCTTTAATAATGCCACGCATGCATTTCAAAATGTCTTTGTCCTTAATGGCACAATGAGAGGCATGAGCAATTGTGTGTATTGTATCTGAGTACTGTGACTGGGTGGTGCTACACATTGTTCATTACTACTAATTTTTCTTCTGATTTTAGAAAAAAAAAGAAAGCCCCCTTTTTGTTACTACTTTTTCCCCTTGCATTCTAGATTTACTGCGATGCCAATGGAACAAGTCCAACACCTTCAAACAATTCTTCAGCAAGTTTCACTTACTCGTCAGCTGTCACAAATTTACTGAACAATACCACCACTCAGGGACATGGAAATTCCCTTCACTCAACCACAAGTCTTCTTTTCATTCTCTCAGTTTCTCTTCTGTATTTTTGCTGTTAAGAAACTCTGGCATGGAAATGGCTACCACTCCCACCCAGTTTCCTGAACCATCTGAGATGGCTAGATCTCTGACCCAGCATGAAAATAAACCAGACCAAACTCCGCATCAAGCCAGTTTGGTTCCACTCCATACTCAAATTAGTACCAGTCTGATCTAGAGAAGCACTCAGTATTCTGACTTTCCAAAGCTGATCAGTGTGAAAGACCAACTTCAGCAAGAGGGTAAAATGATGAGCTCTTCTACCAAATGAGTTGGAATTTGAAACACAAGATGGAAGCAAAAAGAGACAGTATTGACACCCCCTGATTTAAAGCTGAGAAGAAATGCAGTATCTTATAATAAGGATGGATGATAACATTCCACCAAGAAAAAAGGCTGAATAGTTATTTACCATTGAGAATAAGAATTTGAAGAGATTTTATTTTCCATTTAAATGTTGAAGTCGACAGGCTCATATAACCACTAGAAAACACAGAAAAGCTCGAATGGTTCCGTTTCTTGCAGAGCCTATATTGTTATGACCTATGTGTAGTAGGATATATGCAAAAGAAACAAAATATCAGTGAGAAGGATTTCTTCTATAATTTATTTGAATGAAATGGTTACAAGGTTAAAATGGATTACCAAATTTGTGTTAGAATCCCCTTTATTTAACCTCTGAGTCCTAATCAAATGGCTAGCTGGGCAGGGCTAGTTTTGAAATGACTAAAGCCTATTGGTTTTTGTCACAGTTGAATTATTTACAGTGGAAATTTGAATTTGATATTTTATTTAAATTGTTTTCATATTAAACCATATGTGCCAGAAAAATGAGGTGTGGGAACACTGGGAAAAGTACCAGGAGCTTTTTGTAAGCTAAGTTCAGACAAAACCAGAAAAAAGTCAAAGAATAAATATCTCCTTTTTCCCTAATTTCTCCTCCCTAGTTCTACAAATTGTGTAAGGTCTTTTTGCTCCTGGAGCTTTCCTTAATTATGAAGGATTTATGGAATCTCCTGAGTAATGTTCTAATGTTGCTTTTTTTTTTTTTTTTTTGGCACAAGGTGAATAGCTTGCTGGTTTTTGGTTTTGTTTGGGTTTTGTTTGTTTTTTTTGTTCTGAAGAGTTTTAATTGTGATAGTTTACTTTAAACATGGGCTAATATTTGTGTGGGGGAGAAGGAATGGGGAAAGGAGAGCAAACCGCCAAAAATAAGAAATTAAATGACCAGGTGTTTGGAATATGAAGACTGGAATCTTAATTTAATCAGTGAATTTAAAAGTTACCTTTGTAAATACTACTTTTTAAAAATTTTCTGAATCAAAATTGCTACACTTGCACAGATTGTTTCTGTATCATCCAACACTTTAGATAATAGAATCTGGTACTTGATCAGGGCAAGCGTTGTTGAGGAGGTTCAACTGCCTTGATGGTAAAACCTTGTCAGAAAAAAATGAATAATGTTGATATGATCACATGTGAGTATACATGATCACATTGCTGTGTACAGATAGATATTGTGGTATAAGATCATGGCAAACATGAGTGGCTCTCAAATTACCTTTTCTTTTTTAAGACACACATCTCTCAGTTATATTACCACCAACCCAGAATATTACATCTTAATAGCGAACTAACACAAATTCATGTCAGAGAACATGGACGTTTCCTTATGCTTATCATTTGTATCCAGTAAAATGTTAATGATTGTATTTTTGTGTTTGTGTAATTATGCTTTGATTTATTAGCTACTGATTTTCATTGGAAAAAACTGTAAATAAACCAGTGGACAGGCAATGCATTCTAGATACACTTCCAGACACTTTTACGAAAACCTGTAAGTTGCCTGCTTAAAGTGAATGAACTGTTAAGCAAGATGGTAAATGTGATTAAAAACCTCAAGGTCTAGAACTGCTGAAGTGTACTTAGTTTTATTTCTCTGTGAGGTTTAGCGACACTGGGAGTCTGCATTCTGCTTTGAAACTAGTGAGTGAGATTTGATTAACATCTCTAGTAACTGTAATAAGATTTCTGTACTTACTACAGCCTCTTTACTTTCAAGCTGTCTTAATCTTTCATTTTAGATAAACAGCACGTAAAGAGTTTTCCTTTATTTCTTAATGTGGCAATGAGTTATTTTTTTCTTATGATAGCTATTTTTCACTTTCCAGTTATCAAACATGTGAATTAACTGTTTGAGGTTTCTGTCTCCCACAGACCATAGTAATATCATAAGATATCCTCATAATACAGGTTTCACCATGCTCGATGAAGGACAGAGTGGAAGAGGTAGGAACATGTGTAGTATTTTGCTGAAAAGTAAAAATCACCTGCATGAGAATTCAAAACCAAATAGTTTCAGTTCATAACATTCCAAAACCTTGCTTTTGTTGTTTTCCAGGTATGCTACTTTCTAACAACCCTTAAAGGCCCAATGCTATTCTGAGTGGTTATCTTTACTCCCTGGCTGTGGAGAAAAGCATTTAAAAGTGCCTTGCTACTTAAGGCAGGCTGCACAACAGTCTGCATTTGTCAGTGGGAAAGAGGCCCCCGGAGAGGCCTCCCAAGGCCAAGGCTCTGGAGGGAATGCAGCACGGCAGGTCTTTGATTGTGTTCCTTTACTTTTCCAGTAGGCTGAGCAAACGCGAGGAGCAGGATGAGTTTATCAAAGCTGGCTGTTTGAATAAATCTTGGAATGCGCAGGGAGTATAGGAGCACATTGTTCCTTTGTTTAGCTTCCCTGTGAGTGCTCCAGAAGAAAGCATGAAGATAACCAACCATTACCTGTCCTGTATCTTTTTTTTTTTAATTAAAATAAAAATCCAAAACTGAAAATTGAGAGACTCTCCAAAAAGAGACAGGCTTTTTTAAGCCTCTGGAGTGTTTGAGGTTTTCACCAGTCCAGATGAATGATATAAAGAAACAATCTGGCAACTTTGTTCCATTCACAAAACAATGGGGTCAGTGATGAAGAAATCTACCCAGGGAAAAAGGACATGATGGATTTATGTAACAAAATGGGAAGGCGGGAGGGAGGGGAGAAGAATGGAGCCTACACACTTCACAACTATTTAATTTTTTAAAGTGACACCTATAAGAACTGGAGCCAGCACTTAACCTATGCCTCTCACTTTCATGAGTCTGTCCAGCTGGAGTGTGTCTGGATAACGTGCATTGCAATGACTCTGAAACAATTCTGCTTCTGTCTGATGCATAGCGCTGCTTTCATTGTAAACATACGCTTGCCACATATGTACTGAATAAAGCATAGTGTTGTTATTCGAATGAAATAGTCTAAAATGAGCACTTAGAATTTGTGTGCAGCCTACTACTGTTCCTTCCTTCACAACATCATATTCTGAATAGCCCTTTAGTTTTTTCAAATTGCAGTTTTCAGCTGGTTTAGAAATCTGCAGGGACTTTGAATGAACAACTTCCATTCAACAAGAAGACTCCACAAGGTGAGGTATTTTGGGCCGGATCCAATGCTGTCATACCCATAAGCTTCTGCTCGTGGCTTCCTTGTTTTCAGTAAGGTGAAATCACGTACCCTGAACCTTTCTCTCCATGTGTGAAAGGCAGTGTGCATGGTGCTGCTGTGTTATGCTAAGAACAGCCCTACGTTCTCTTTGTGGAGAGTGACATTTTTCATGCCTCAATAAATGACTATTAAAATGAACACAGGGCTATTCTGACAAGGCATTCACAGGTTTTAGCCTAATCCCTCAAACATTTAGGATTTACCTGTACAATGCAAATACTCTCACCCTAGTTCAAGACAGCAGTATACTCCCTAACGTCATTAGTACAATATTTTGTATGGAGTAATTTCTCCTGAGAGTAGTTCTTACACCACCCATTGGCCTGCAGAAGGGCTCATGAGAAGGAGTGCTTGGAAGACCAGGGTTTTTTTGTGCCTCTTTCCAAGTCAGCATTTCCCTGCACTCAGGTTACATCATTCTCCACAGCAGACCTCACAATGACACCTTGTACCTGAAAGCGAGGATGTATATAAACATGCATACCTTGGAGGCAGTTCAGAGTGATTTGCATTTTGTGTGCATTCAGGCTTCATAGGGATTTGATTTCCCTTACATGACTGAAATGATTTAGACAGCAGGCTTTATCATCCAGCAACTTAATTGTAATGGATACAATTGGGAACATTTCTTGGTTTTGTATTAACGATAACTTTGAAACAGGATCTATCAGCTCCACCTCTGAACAGCACAAAGCTCTTCATTACAGAGAACATGTTACATTTTATGCACTGTACAGGTCTACTGTGCCCCAGCAGATAAAGGTGGTTATTTTAAATTCATCGCTTTACTTGCAGCAGTTTAAAGAGCAGTACTAGGCTTCTGCAAGCCGTGCTTTAAGATGCAATGTTTTCATCATTATGCAGTAGCCTTGGGAAAGATACTTGATCCTTACTTTGGTTATCAGCCTTCAGTTTTCCAAGAGAAGCCCTCACCATTCTGCTCATGAATGCATAATTGCTCTGGTTTAGTCTTCATCAAAATGTCCAGAATGAATGACCTGGAGCTGAAGAAACATGATCAATTTGATACAGCCCAACCAAAATCCTAAACGAATGAAATCTCATCTGTGAACGGTCATTCAATTCTCTCTTGAATCCAGCAGTACTCCCTGCAATGTATGTGCTACAAATACATGAATAAAACATTTTCAAACTTTTCAGAAGCAACCCGAGACTCTTTTATGCATTCAGCTTAGCAGGAGCTATGCTTTAACAACTGATGGGTGTACAATATAAAAATGGAGCACGCAGCAGAATTAAATCGTGGTAGCTTGGTTTTGCTGCATAAACTGAATGATCACATTCCACCAGAATCTCTCCTGAATGACCTAGTGCGAAAAGTATTCTTTATGTGGCACAAATTATTAAAGGAAGCAACGCCTCTGTGAAGCAATTGTTCTGTTTCCCTCTTTTCAACAACTCTCATTGTAAACACAGTGTGGACTTTTTTCAGATTGCTTACTGTGCATAATGGGGACTTAAAGTCTGTGTTCATTACACTGAATATGTAAACTTCACTTGGCAAATGCTGTATATTTCTTTTTCTACTGAATTAGGTAAAATGCAAATGGTTTTGAGAGATAAGACTGAACTTTTAGACCAGAGAGATACATATGCCAAAGTACAGTTACAAATGCATATACTCTGATTGATTAGACTAGTAGGATTCAGAACTGATTGAGTACCTACAACTAATTATAGCAATTTGAGCCATAATAACAAGGATTAAAAAACAATTTTAAAATTGGTAGAAACCATGGTTTGAGGACCCTCATTGCTTCAGGAGTCATAGTGAATTTTCTCTGCAAGCAGATTACCTGGTAGATTTTTAGTTACTAAGACAGTCTGAGGTATGTTAATAGCATGAAAATGGACTTCACAGAATCATAAAATATGATACAGAATACAGACGTGATGGAGTCTTTGCTCAAACATGGCAGTTTCAGTGTTTTAATGTTGCAGTACAAATAAGTTTTTTAATAATGAGCAAAAAAAGTTCTTTGGTAGGACTCTAAGAGTAATGTAAAAATGTGATACTGTTATCTTGAGACATGATGATGACATTCGCTGTCATATATCTGCTGCTGCTGCTGCTATTTGCTGTCATGTACCCTACTATCTACAAAGTTTTTATGTTTTCTAAAACTCGCTGGCATTTGATGTCTTTCTGTAAGTTTCCAATAGTATCTTCAAATTCCTTTTTAAGGCTATGATAACTACTCTGATTTTGTTATCCTTCCTGTTTCAGGAAACTAACAGAAAACTACATGCAGTGCAGCAGATGTTTTCACGTTGGAATTCGTCATTGCCTCCATTCCAAAATCCTCAGGCTTCCGTAAGGTGTGCCCTGCAGCAAAGTGCTACCAGTAAATGAGCCAACGTGAAGCATTACCAGGATGACAGACTACTTTGATTTTCTGGGGACTTTTTTTCCCTGCCAGTCCGTGTTTCTACTGAAATTAAAATATCAAAACAACACTCAGCTATATTCAGGACACAATGCAAACTCCACAGTCATTTGGCCCTGTTAACCTGGCACTGATCTAAGCCCTTTACCACAGTCTAACAGTAAGCAAAAATACATTGCTAACATGGTGGAGGAACTGGATGAGAGGTAGAGAATCTGTATAAACTCCCGTGACCTGACTGAGATGTCAACTTTGGTCCCAAAATGTGTGGTCTGATCTGCTAGGGATTTGTGGATCTCGCTAGGTAGCTGGTAGGGGTCTGTGACTTTAATGAGTATTTCAATGTGTTTACATTTAGCAGGTCTGTTCTTACTCAGCAATGCAGGCTGACATTGCTCAGCTTCTACCCAGTCCTTTTTTTTTGTCTCCAGTCTTATATCATGTGCTCCTCAGCACAGAGGCAGTCATTGCTGAGTGTCTGCAAAACTCCTATTAGGCATTTGCGATTCGTCAGCAGGTTTTACACTGCTTTCCGTAACAGCAGTAATTAAAGCCCAGGTCTTCAAAGGTAATTTGGTGCCTGACTTATAATTCCTATTGAAATCAATGTCCTTGTGAGTTGTAGTCTGACTGCCTTCCCTGTAAAATTAGTGTATAATATTGAAGGCTTTTACAGACCTCATGGGATCTCTGCCTATTTTTCAGGGAAACAACAATTAAGCTCCTCTCTTTTTTTGTTTTGCTTGCCTGCTTGTTTGCTTTCTGTATGACAGAACCTTTGATTGCTGTGGCAGAAGTGTTTGGAAATACCTTTCCATCAAGGTGGTGACGTTCATCCCTGCTACAGCCGGATGGAAGGTTTCCTGGAGTACAGCTGCCCGCCCTCCACAGCCTGCCTGCACTCCTTCCACAGGCAAAGGCCTGTCCTATGCAATCCCATGTGGGGATCATCACCATCCCAG